TATGGCAAAATCGCACCCCCCCCTGACCGAAAACTGAAAAATTTTCGGCGATCGCACCCCCCCTGACTGAAAGCTGGCTACGCCCCTGAGCGCTGTTTATGAAACCGTGCTGTTTGATGCAGTTTGAGATTGGTAGTGTAGTTTATGATAGGTCAGGAATGACCTAATTTTACCTTAAAAATTTAAACAAAGATATATCATATTGTATACTCAAATGAGCTCAAAATAGTGAATATAGTCTAGTTTTGTCATATTATTGCTACTGAGATATATACAATAATGATTAACAATTATAAATAAAAAATGAACCTCAACAGCCATTTATTCCTTTTTAGTACCAATGGCAATACTATCTAGTTTTATAGAACATTTTCTAAGATATGAAAATGTTTGATAAGTCCAGTTCATACTCGCACGAGTAGAAGCATTGTTAAGATTCTGTATATTATCATTTGAGTATATAATCCAAATCTATAAAACCTAATCAAAGGAGTCACAATTTATGGATTCTGACAGTCTCTCCTACAGCTACATAGCTCAGAGCAAATCAGATCTGCTTTCAAACATTTGCATCTATTCTCTTGACACAGGTATCTACCCCATGACCTACATTTTATGTTGTGGCCTCAGTATCAGCAGTGGGAGTAGTCCAGCCACATTCATGTGGTGATAGAAACTGTGGGTAAGAATGCATCAGAATGAATAAGGACTCTAGTCTTCTAATTTTAGGGTATCCAGAATGCATCTAGCGATTGTATGAAAAATGGTAAGGGCTAAACTTCGTTCATGGCCAAGTGGCCTTGAAATATCTAAGGCAGGTCGTACATACTGGACGAATTTCCCCTCACTATAGGCCATATGCAATCCAAATTGACATTTTCAGCACAAGTTACTGCCAGTTTAAACCACATCAAAATCAACTGTATTGACTATGATTCTTATTAGGTCATGACAGAAGCCATCTTTGGCATGCTTCTTCATATGAGCGAATGGTGATGGCAGATACTTCACTATCGGGCTAAGATATTGCATTACCTCATTGTGAGGTCACTATCTTCTTGCCATCTTCCTCCAGGGTTTCAGTTTTGATGCCTGGAAGGAAAACAGCTCCCTCTTGTTCCAACTATCTTAGGAAATCTTGCCAATTCCACAGAAGAAAATTAGTAGGATATACTTTCCTGACTGTTCCAGTTTTGTGCTGTTTGTATCTATGCTCATTAACATCAAAGTTGAATCAAGGGCGTTACAATACCCGGGAATTTATCGGTTCGTGCAGTACTTGTTTGTGATAGCGCCCTCTGTAGGTCACTGTGCTTATAGCCTACAGTAATACGGGGTAGGATATCGGGAATTCGGTCAGTTTCTATCCGTCGATTTCGCTATGAATTGAAGCAAGTGTGACCACTTTATCCACTTAAACAATTTGATAATTGATTAAATATTTAAACAAAATCGATAAACACGTTATACACTTCCTATCTCCTTAGAAATTAGCATGTATTTATACATTGTGTTTTCGAACAAGGCTCGACCCAAACCAATAGGGAAATCCTTATGCTAATTAGTATGACGTCATATTTTCCTGGGGAATCCTAGATTTCAAAGCCTCAGTCTGTTATTGTGTCAAATGTAAACGCTCTTTTGCAGACAGAAAATTGACAGATTAGCTTTTAACTTTCAGCTTTGATGTTTAAATATTCTGTATTTCTACCGGACTTCTTGCTGAATATCATATAATGTTATAACTTGATTTGGATCATTGCCTGATTGCTCATTCTGAAATTTTGATTGTGATTCATGATTGATTGGCAAGAAAAATAATTCCTATTGTTTTCCAGCGAAGTCAAAATGTTACAGCATGAGTTATAATGTCGAGTTTGCATCATGTTAAATTCTGCTAGTGATTAGAAGTCCATGCACAAGCATACACATTAGAGACAAACACACCCAGGCTCCAGGCCGTGGATGGAAATATAAAACTATTTAAGGCACAAACTGGTATTAATAGACCGATATGTAGTGTCTGCCATGTATTGAAGGTAAACCAATCTGCATTATTAATGTTTCTTCTATCAATACATGGATTGTGCAATGGAAAAGCAATGGCACAATCAAAAATGTGCATATCAATCGTGAATATCTCTCGGTTCAAAGCTTATTTCCAACAGAATCGTGTCAAAATATGTGTCTGAGTAACAGTTATACATTATAAGATCGCAAACTCTCACCAATTATCAGCTGAATGGCTCATTTTCAACGAAATGTCCTTAAGACATCAGCCCTGGGTCGCGCCTAAGACCAAAAACTATTTCAAATAGCCCTCCCCTAATTATATTGGATAATCACATTTATGCGTGCGCGCGCAGCTCATCCACTGAACGAAACGCCACTTCCCGCTGAAATCACCGGGTATTGATCTTTCCCTTGGTTGAATGACTAAGCTACATAGTAGATGCCAAAATAATAGACAGGGCATGTAAAGTAAAACATGCTGACAGTGAAATATAAAGAAAATTGGGTGATTATGCAAATATGATATTACCCACGTAAAAGTCTGCAAATAGTTCATTGCCTTGATGTCAGCTGGGATGTTTACCCGGGGATGTTTACAAGGACACTAGCTTAAAGGGGCAACAAGGTCTGTAGAAGATTCTTTTTTTTTTACTTTTTCTGAGCTATCAGGGCAATATTTGGCTTTGACATACCTATTTTTTTAAAATGTATGGATAAACTATCAATTTCAGCATTAAGAAGTGTAAATTCAGTTCAAAGCTTCTATAAAGGGAGTCCCACTTATAGGTTTTTAAGATCCAAAACATTTCAAGAGCAATCAGCTGAAATAATGTTCATCCAGGGGGTTTCTTTGGAAGAAAATAAACATATATGTTAGTCTTGATGAAATATCAAAACTTGAATATATTTTGACACTGGTCCATGATCGTTGAATGGCCCCTTTGCACTAATTGTTGCACCTTTAAAACAGCTCTAGAGAGACTTGTGGAACTGGAACAAGGATAGTCTAAGGAGGAAACTGAAACCCTTGAAATGGATGGAAAGAAGATAGTGACAACATAAATTAAGGAGGCAATGCAATGTTTTAGCCCAACAGTGAGGTTCTGCCATCACCCTTGCTCTTATAAGAAGAAGTAGACTCAAGGATATTTCTCAATATTTTCAGTTAGACTACTTCAATCATGGCCTTCAAGAGAAAGAATAATACTCCTTACATTTAATTCTGATGTGATTTCTGATGTGGTTATTCTGGCATATATGTGATGTTAAAAACTGAAAAAGTCAATTTGGATAGCATATGGTAAGGGAGAAAACATATCAATATCTACCTGCCCATGACCAAAGTTTAATCCTCCCCATTTCTCATACAATCATGGGATGTGATGTTACATCTGTATTCTACTGCTATGGAAAAATGGAATAAATGGAGTGAGATTTAAATGTGTCACTGAACAGACTATTTTCCCCATTTTGAGATCATTTTATCTTGAATATTATTGTGATAACATTTGGCATTCTTGTGCCCAATCATTGACTGTCATTATTCACTGACAGAATCCTTGACAGAAGCAGGTCACCTTAACCCCCCCCCCCCCCCCCATCAGGCTAAGGTGACTGGACTTACTACCCTTTGCATTCATTCGACTTTCCTTCTCAAAAGAGAGCTTCGTCTTCACTCTATCAGTTTTCAATGAATCTCTGAACTCACTGCCCTAATCAGAGTTTGTTGTTGAAATAAGGACGGCTTTCTATATGGTCATTTTCTCTGGCGAAATCGCAACATTAATGTGCACGCATTTACCACTTGTTCCTTCAAGCACGCTGATTGGTTGAGAATAGGTCAGCATGGGTCATAAATGCTTTAAGACCCAAGCTGCCAATGGCATCGGTCATGGGGACGGGGCTGCTAAACTCACTCCATCCTTTGCTTCTATATCATGGTAATATATGATAAAATCACCCCTGACCTGTCAAAAGCTAAAAGTGTCGTTTTTCAAATTTCCATTATTTTTTACATCTCCTAAGGAATAATATGACAAAACAAGAGTATATGACACAATTCTAAGCTCATTTGAGATGCATACGTCTCATAATTAAGAAAAGTTCAAGGTTAAATAAGCCATCATAAGCTAAAATGAAAATTTCAAATTTTAAGAAATGTCCAATCATTTTCTACATCTTATTGGAGGTATTATGATTAAACAGAACTATATGCACCATCTTGAGCTAATTTGGGATACATATATTACAAACCTTGAAAGTTATTAAGGTAAAATATGGTTACCCCTGGCCCTTCAGAAGCAATAATGAAATATTTTTTTTTGAAAAGTTCCAATCATTTTTCAATCCAATTAGGAATAATATGACAAAACAAGATTCAATGCACCATTTTGAGCTCATATGAGACCCATACATTGCATATCTTAAAAATTATTAAGGTAGAATAAGGTTACCCCTAGGCCGCAAGGGCTTAAAAATTCAAATTTCGATAATTTTTATCTCAAAAAATACATGAGCTACCCAAGCCATATTCTATATTTGTGATTAACACTTATACCCCTATTAGTATGAATTTTTCCAAGATGATCAGACATCACATTCTTGAAATACAGTACTTGATGTCCCATATTTGACCCTTTAAAAGATGAATTCACGCTAGATAATTGGGTCAAAATGCATTTTCCACACTAAACACCACATCTCCATATCAGTTTGTCTCAATTTCAAGGCTCAGAGCAATCACCAAATGAAGTCATTTAAAAAAATTTACTTCACAACCATTTTTATTTATTTTTTATAATGTACCCCCTCCCCGCCTGATAGGGGTTGGGGTCAGAGACTAAAAAATCCATGAAGACCACTCCGGATCACTTGCCCCGAAATCATTTTCCACTCAGATCAAGTGTTTCTTCAACTGTGCCAAGTTTTTTGCTTTCCTGAAAAAGTCGAACTATAAAGGGCTCATTTCTGGACATCTGACTGCGCTACTAGGCGGTTTTTTGACCTTGTCAATGATCAATCTGGTGCTCCTCTGGGCTCTATTTGGTCAGTAGTCCATGCAAGTATGTCCAAATACCGTGATTTCTTTGTCATACATACTGCACATGCATTTGTGTCGACGCCATTCAAAGATTACATTTTAACACTAGGTTTCTAAATATACAGTCTTTTGTGATTTCTTTGAGGCTTGTGTAGCCTGAAAAGTACAACAAAGCAGTAATTAGACCACTGTTTTATTTATTTTTTATTTATTTTTTAATTTACGATGCCAGTACTGCTAGATTGGTTTTATCATGGACTGATGGATTTTAAGCTCATGATTCGATCTAGTGGATTTATTTACTATCACGGTGTCCGCAGTGCACAAAACCTCTGTGGATCATTTACGGCAATAAATATCATGATACTCATGGTACGGACCATAGCGGACCATAGTATGTATAGGTGTTTTGCTCGAGTTTTTGTAGGTCCACGAAGAGCCATACTAACCTAATAACGCCATTGTTGTGTCGATTTCGTCTCGAAGAATTTTTACCACATGTGCCATTCCGTCTTCACCCTACAATTTAAGATACCGTATGTCTGACTCGCGAAGTCTGTGACTGGTATTTGTTCCTGAGAAGGTTAAAATTCGTGCCACATTTTACTTCAGGGCGTCAAATAAGTCTCCCCCCCCCCTTTAACTTTTTTATTTTTAATGTTATCATACTTTCCCATGTATCATTTTAAAGCTTATGGAAAATGCTGATAACCATAATGGGCTTTAATTAGAAGGGTAGACAACTTCCCATATTTCATACATAAGCATTGCCTTTGGGTTTTCAAAACTGGAGAATGTACACATTCCAAGAAAATCTTATTTTGTACTTTTTATGGATGATTTAAAGTAATAACTCAAAAATAAAAACATGATTATCTGCATACATGTTGATAATTTAATAAAAAATGGAATTCATCATAATTATGGCAATAAAGAAAGTGAACATTCTCCCACAAATTATGCTTTTATTGGAATGTGTTCTTGGATAATTACACACAATGCAATACTTTACGAGAACATCTTGATACCTCTTTTTCTTATTGGTCTTTTTTGTTTACTTTTACATGAGATTCAACATATTTTATGCTTTAATCATATTGAAAATTGTTTTTTTATTCAAAATAATACTCAAACATATACATTTATCTAATACTTTTTGAAATATTACCATAAAAAGGGAAACATGGCATTGCTCATTTTGAAGGTCTCATGTTTATTACACATAGTTGCATACCCTTCTAATTGAAAGCACATGTCACCATCAAAAAATCAATAATGAAATCTTCTTAATGAAATTCCTACAATGTTTCTTGTAAGGTTGTAGTTGACATTTCATTACGTCAAAATAAATAAAAATTACCAGGAGTATAGTGAATGAAAGGTAAAAAGTTGATACTGCAGTGACAATGCCAACATTGGGTGATTTCGATATTTTTCAAGATTTCTATTTCCCTGGAGGAACATCACAGCTATGAAACATTGCTCAAATGTATCAAAAAGCTCTTAGTAGCCTGGAAAGTGCAACATCGCCGTTTGTGAACATTTTGGAATCGTATCCTTGTAGAACTTGAGGCCGTCCGAGCTGCTTGAGGGAAACATACGGATTATTAAAAAAATAAAGTGTGGATATCACTAAAAATCCTCTTAAAATTTGGGATTTTAACCAAACACTCTGAAATTTGGTGTGTGATCAGCAAATTAAATTCCCTTTAAGATGATATATAGTAAGTCTATGTAATATCATGGGCTTTCAACTTCTAATTGAAAGCCCGTGGTAATATCTGTGTTAGAAAAGTTAAGGGGGGGGGGGGACAGACGTACTTATTTGACGCCCCGCTTATGATACTTTTTTCAAGATGATAACGAACTGTACATTATGTACTTACTCCACATATCAATCCCCATAACGCGGGTCTACCTACAAACACTGCACGCGCACCTAGTGCAATGGCTTTCACTATGCCACTCCTCACACCACCATCCAGATAAATCTCAATATCATCTTTGACAGCTTCTTTTATCCCCGGTAGAGCATCTATCTGCAATCAGATTATTCTTTGCACATGCTTCCGAAGCCGTCCGAAGCTTTCCGAAGGGATACTTTACATATACGAACAACCCAACGATGTAAAGCGCACATATACTAATGGGAACGAATTTTACTCAAGTCCTATTCGCAAGACATTTTAGTGGATTCATTCCTATGTGAGGGGGGGGGGGCTTTGGGCCCCATAGATGGTAATAGTACATACTGGTGCAAGTAAAGAATCGAGTTGTCGTCCACCGTGGTTAGAAATCCAGATACCAGACGCTCCATGCTTCACCGCCAATTTCGCATCTTCGGGGTGAAGGATTCCCTTCAATATGATTGGTAGTCGCGTGATAGTCTTCATCCATAAGATGATATCCCATGTGAATGATGGATTATATCCTGCAATTTCCGCTGATCCGCAAAGACTATCTGATAGCGTTTCAGATTTCTAAAACAAGAAAAGGTTTTCAACTATGAATCACTTCCACATTAACTTAAGTTTTCATACGTCTAAAACCTTTATCAGATGGCCTCAGGTTATACGTTATTACTTGTTCCGTTAAAATACATGCATTCGCGATCAGATTGGGAATTTAATCAAGCACAGCCATTTGTAAAGTTCAATGACATTGAGAAGTTCATATATGGATAGTCAGATAGTAACCTCTACGTTATTTTCATGTTTGATTAGATTTGGAAAGTGTTTGGCGTATGGGGCGTTATCAATTTCTCCCTCTTGTTCCACACGTCTGGTACCTAACACAGGAACATCCACGTCGAGAACAAGAGCTTTATACCCCGCCGCCTCTGCGCGCTTTATCAGAGCCTTTGCCACGTCTCTGCAAATTTAAGAATCAACTTAATAGTCTGATGCAATCGTAATGATCTTTGGACGCTACTACATCTACCTTGTTTAATATACAGGACCAACGCAGAATAATTACAATTACGATGTCAGTCGGATGTAGAACTTACCTTGTAACTGGTGATGCGATTTCATTCATGATGTACAACTGAAACCATTTGAAGCAGCAATGTCCTCAAGACTTGTGTTTGCGTATGTAGAAGAAACATAACAATGGCCGTACTTAGATGCACCTTAAAACAATCAAACCAATGAATATCACTGTACAGGATGACAAACTATTTTAACACTCTTATTTTGAAAATCCAAATACTGTGATACGTTTTTTAATATTCACACACAGACTAAATGGTCGCAATGCATGAGACGATTTTAAAATGAGAGGGTTGTGTGTACCGGTATATTTATTTATCATGGGTCTAAAATTACAAATCTCTACACACAAAATTCATATTTTCAAAACAAGTTAGACATTTGATTGAGAAAAGCTTAACTCTAGTACTATTTTTAACGTTAACAATAGCCTATTTGTTAAGTTAATAGAGTAGTTTCTAAATAGCTTTAAAATCTCGCTAAATCTCGTTTTTTCATGAGATTTTTAGAGATTTGCACTTTTTATCTCTAATGACTTACTTTTCTTTGTTTTTGATAGCATATTTGAATTCGGTGACAAGTTTTCTCAAATAATAAATTTGATTTACACAGTTATGTCATTTAAATCATTTTCCATGACATTTAAAAAACTTGGGCCAAATCTCCATTGGTGCAATTCTTAGATTCATTAAAACCTTGGCTTATTCGTATGACAACCAACATTTTCATGTTTAATCACAATATGTACATTAACAGTATCATCCGATAGTATGCCATTCGAGTTTCAGACAGATTCAACCAACACTTTTTGACAAATCATGAAATTAAGTGACTATTGCAAGTTTCTAGCATTGAACTGAATGGAGGTGTGGCCCAAGAAAATCAAAGACAAACTAGGGTGACATCTATTATGTCAGCGTTATTCAGCTATTTAGAAACTATACAATTGAACCTTTGGCAGTGGCTATCTCCCCCTTTGGATGGGCAAATTTGTGTACAGATGTTGGTGCGATCCCTACTGGACTTGGTACCCACTCCCCTTGTAGTGTGGTACTCTGGTTCCTCTGAGACACATCTACCAAGATCCTCGGTAGAAACTGCAATCTAAAATGCAAGTTACATCAAAACAAATAGTTGTAATGCTTGAACATTTATAAATCATTTAGTGCAGTGCAGCCATTAAGTATATATCATTCCGAGGAAATGCAGTACCAAAAGAATGAAAATAAAAATGAATTGATCAAAAAGTCAACTTTGATATAGGTATGAATCGTTAAACCGGAGATCACCCACCTTTTGAAAGCGTCTTCGTTTTCCTTTACGCATCTTTTGTCACCAGCCCCCTGACTATGGAATTCCCAGATGAGAGGACCATGGGGGCGTAGTCTGAGAATTTCTCTCGCAGCTTCCTCATAGTCTTTTAAACAAGTCAGCTTTCTGGCGATTGGGCCCATATTTGTACTTGTAGTTGTTTACTCATTCCAAGACGTTTCCAAGTATTTCAAAGATGAATTCTCACTTTTCACTTGTTACAAAAGACTGCTTTGATTTCATACCAATGTTATTTCCATTCACCTTTAATATTCTGTATTTCCCTGGATTCAGTATTTATTACAAAAGACTGCTTTGATTTCATACCAGATGTCCTTTCCATTCACCTTTAATGAATTGTATTTCCCTTGATCATGTTGAATATTCTTCTTGTTATTCATACATAAAATGACCTGGCTAAATGAGTTATATATCGGACAGACTTGTGACTTTGATTAATTTTCCTGATCGATACCACACTGGCTGAATGGTCAGAGAACGGTCAATGCTAGGGAAACCAATGGCCGCTCTGATGCCAATAAATGTCGAATTGCGATTAATCATTTTAATGCGTCTAAAAGTATCCATCATCGTTCTGTACTATACAGTTATTTGGACAATATTTAAGATTCTGTTAGCAAATTTTGTGTTGAAAGCTAAAAAATTTCAAACAATAACCGAGTTTTCTTTTTAAACATCAAAACATTGCATTGTCATGACTTCAGGACTATAAAACAATACTATAGTATCAGCAATGTCGTATTTTAAAATGCTATCAGTTTTTAAACACAACTAGGTAGTAACACGATAGAACTGTAGTTTTCTATTGTTTTTAAAGAATTGCAACTTGGCAAGCTATCCAAAACCAGTGTGGCACAAAAGATGATTGACTGTCACATGCAGTGCATTAAAGCTGAACTAGTTACACCCTATTCACTCATTCAATAGTTGAATAGTGAACACAAAAGAAACCAAAACTGTACCTGGCCTGTTACATGCAATACACTGAAGATGAAATAATTACACCCATTCACTTCTCAACATATTTACCTCATAGTCAACAGAAAATAAATCAAAAATTGGAAATGGATTATGAACCATTTACCTTTCATAAGATTCAGTGTGGGATTTGAGTTAGATAAACCATTCGTACTGGGTTTTATAAGAACTAATATCCTCGAACCAAGGCCCTCGGATATTATTTATCATAAGACCCAGCACTCAAAGTCAAATTTAAAATTGTACATTACAGTTCTCTTGATACAGGTAACGTGGATGAAATAGTGGAACAAATGAAGAATGAAATATACTTGTATATAATCTTTTTAAAAATGTTTTGTTTATTTTATTCAAGTTGTGTGTAATCATAGAACAAATGTGAAAACAAACTTAGAAGTCGTCTTAAAATACTAGATATAGTATGTGTTCTCCATTTTTCTTTTATCAAATTGAATGATTTAATGTAATTTGGCATATAAGTTCAAGTCAAATTGTTTATAAGTCTTTAATTTGTTTAAATCTGGGTATTTTCTCAACGAATTACCCTCCAATCTTGTCAAATTCTAACCTAAGTGACATCTATACGTATTCAGGTGAATGAGCCAATTAGTAGCTTAGGTGATTCTCCAATGGGCAACGCAGTAATGGGACAGTGTTGACATACTGTAAGGGTAAAGATCAGTCAGGGAACCTTTTGGCTCCTTCCAACTCTCATGTTTCGATTAGCTATCTGGTGGTCCTTCGCCTCCAAAATCTTCCTGCCCAATCTTTGAGTTTATATAACACTGGTTAGTTGCCACTTATGGATATGTACCATTCTTAATATTTCATGTAGTTGTCGGTCAAATCTATCGATTAGCCCAATTCGGCCTGATCAATCAGAGCCGAAATTGTCCAGAGGACAAAAATAAGATTACATAAGTCTGACATAATTACTGAAACGTTTGGATGATTCTTTGGATGAATAAATATCTTATATGAAATATTGGCCACTCCATCAGTCCATCACTGTTATTGCTAACATCATCTTATTTTACTGAATGGGCGATCACAGATTGGACTTAAACATTGGGTTCCTGAATAAACAGTCCTTTGTAATTTCCTCAAGACTGGTATAACCTGAAATGGCATAACAAGTTCAATGTTGTCATACATGAGCACATTCAAATAATAAAGAATGGATGAAGAAAGGCGCTTGTGAGCAAGGCGTTCGGGTCAGTTTAATAATTTGGGTCCAAACAAAATATGGTTCTTTTTTCAATGAAGTTAAACTAATTTAAAAATTGGATTTCTCTCTATTCGTTGATTATCTAATAATCTATCTCATATTTAATTTATCTAATCTTTCTGTCGGCTTAGACGCAATATCTTTAACACCCGTTATGGAACGTTGTGTCCTTGTTTCATCTGGTTTGGTAATTTGAGATACCACATGGCGATGCGCGCCAGATGAAAAGCGCGACCGACATGGAACCTCAATTTAGATCCAAAATTCAACATACCCGGCAGCTCCACCATGTGATATTTTATTGTTTCATTTTATTGACAAACTAAGCAATTTTGAGTCGAATACTTTAATTCTATTTTCTCTAAATATGGTTCCTACCTAATAACGCCATAGCTGTATCCATTTCGTCCCGAAGAATTTTTAACACATTTGCCACTCCGTCTTCACCCTACAATTTAACATGTATTGTAATATAAATTCATATGAAGTCCACGTTGATGAAATAAAGATACATATATTCACATAAATCTATTGGGAAGTTGAACTTTGTGCCCATGGCATATTATTTATGATACCATTTTCAAGATGATGACGAATTATGCATTTAACACTTACCCCACATATCAATCCCCATAACGCAGGTCTACCTACAAACACTGCACGCGCACCGAGTGCAATGGCTTTCACTACGTCGCTACCACTCCTTACACCACCATCCAGATAAAGCTCAATGTCATCTTTAACAGCTTCTTTTATCCCCGGAAGAGCATCTATCTATTACAAATAAATAATGAGTTAGGCTGATTTCCGTAGGCTGGCTTGACAATTGAATTGATATGGTATGCAGTTTTGCCATTAGTAATTCGAGTAATTCGACATCAGAAACTTAAAGTAGTTTTTATAATCAGAAGATTTTGATTCTGCAACAATATGTAGATCAATATCAACGTGTCAAAGTAAACAGATATGTTATACCGGAGCGAGTAAAGAATCGAGCTGTCGTCCACCGTGATTAGAAATCCAGATACCAGACGCTCCATGCTTCACCGCCAATTTTGCATCTTCGGGGTGAAGGATTCCCTTCAATATGATTGGTAGTCGTGTAATAGTCTTCATCCATGATATGATATCCCATGTGACTGATGGATTTAATCCGGTAGGACTACTCGCAGACTCTTCTGACCCAATTAGACTAGCTGAGAGTGTTGGGGACTTCTATAACAGACGTGGCAGGGGACGTAATAAAAGGGTTATGAGAACATATTCGTCTTCCAAGGTGGTTAATGAAGTTGGATCAACTAAAACCTTGGGAATGAAGGTGCGTAAGCTTAGTGTTCAATGACCATGAACTTATTTTTAGAAATGTTTCAATTCGATTTTATTCACCAAATAATTGTACAGTGTCCTCGATTTGCTCAAAGTAAAAGCTCTAGGATGTAATATTTACCACTTTGGCAAAGTTTGGCAAGTCGTTGGCGAGTGGTACGTTATCTATGTCTCCTTCTCGTTCAACACGCCTGTTGCCGAGCACGGGAAGATCAACTGTGAGCACAAGAGCCTTATACCCAGCAGCCTCTGCGCGTTTTATCAGATCGGATGCAAATCCTCTACAAAATACACCATTTATCATCTATGGACAAGAAGCGTGAGGCGAGTTCAAAGCTACGTTTTTCCAAGAAAAAAGTTTACAAAAAGTCTATGTCATGCCCATATTATAAAAGGTTTAACTTAGTTTATAAGAATAAATTGAAAGTGTACTTTAAATGATCAATCAGTTCACGTATTGTGTTCAGAGCATCCTTCTGTTTAACTCTGTGGTACTATGAGATTTAGGCTTTTTTAGTGCAGCCCTACCTTGCAATGTTTGAGTTAGCGTCATTCATGATATACAACTGGAACCACTTGAGGCAATCAATGGAGGAGCTAGCGATGTCCTCTAGACTTGTATTTGCGTATGTACTAAGAACAAGACAATGGCCGTGCTTAGCTGCCCCTAAAAATGCAAGTGGGAACACCTTAAGAAGGCCCCGTCCCATGTAGGCCTTTTTGACAAATTTTCGGACAGTTTTTCCATGTTTTCTGTATGATTTGTACTTTGACGTGCATTTGTTTGTTTCTGACAGAATAGTAAGTTGATTATAAAACAAAAGAGAGACGATTTATGGGAAGGAACATTGTGGTGTCTGGACTATCACGACTTGAAATAACTACTTATATGCCTATTGAACGGTCTCGTGCTCCTCGGCTTTCTGTAACCACCAAGGAGCTCTCATTCGCTTCTCTCGAACATTTACTAGATTGGCTATCCTAAACAAAAATACCTTTCACGGTGGCCAGCTCTCCCATGGGATGGGCCATCTTGTGAACGGATGATGGTGCGATTCCTATCGGACTTGGTACCAACTGTCCTTGAAGAGTAGTGCGTTGGTCTCTCTTGGACACATCTACCAAGATTCTCGGTAGAAACTGCAATCTAAAATACACATGAGATTTGCCAAACTCTATGCTATCGTTATGTTTGTGATATAGTTGAAACACTGTTCAGCCTGTATTTGAGAAAATCGAGATCTCTTCATGAGGAAAACATTTTTGAAATACTGAGTAAATGGGCTACTAATCAATTATCTATCGGTATACGTAGTCTGAATGATAATTTTTGCTTAAGTTGAAGATAACACAGTGTTCTGATGTAAAACGAGGAATGTGTGGTCTAACAATACTCCCAGTCAAAAATAAAAATGTCCAAAATTGTTCGCGATACACTACGTGTTCCTATCAATTTGTTTTTCTGTAAAAAGGCCACGTGGGTTATCGCAGACATTCCAGACGGTTATATACATGTATCATGAATTCTAATATGATAGGTGATATCTGTTAGCTAGAACAATTGATTAACTGGTCTATATTGGAGTATGTATGACCGCTAAAATCCATAAATGCAAATAGTTGTGTTTCTTGTCTGTTTATTATCATATTAGAATCGCAACAAAACACCTCAATTTTATGATTTATGTCAAATATATGACCTCAAATTATATCCTGGCCTTTGTCAAAGACCTTAATCGCTGTACGCGATTTCGGTCTTTTAACAAAATAATAAAATTTTCGGTCATATATTACGTCCTAAATCATAAAATCTTGGTCTTTATTCCTTAATTAATTATGAGTATTATCTGACCATGTAAACAGGAACATCTTTTAGATCCATTCAGTATCTCAAAGAAAAGCACAAGTATATACGATGCATTTTCAGTGGAAATATATTAGGTAAACCTTTTGAAAGGGAGTGTTGATGCGTTCTTTGCCCTTCATACCATTTAGTCTGATTAACCAAATTTTCCTTATATATACTTTTCTGGGAGATAATGGATGGATCTAATAGATACACCTGTCTTCAATATCAGAAAATAATCATACAGTAACACCTGTATATCTGAACACCTGACTAATCCGAACACCTCCCAATCTGAACACGTTTTCGGTTCCATTTTTTACTCCCATTGACTCCAATGTTAAAAAACTTGAAATATGAACACCTCCCAATCTGAACAGTGAACAGTCATATTTATGAAATAACCCTGTTTAATCTGAACACTTTTCATAAAATATGACATATTTCATACAAAACTGCTCAAATATTTGAAAGTTAAACACTGATTTGTTTTGATAGCAAAACTTTTGGAAAAACCTTAAATTGTCTTAATCATAATGGGGCTTTTTCCAACGTTACTAAATTCATTTGAATCAATTTTTCAAATTACTTTAACGCCATAAAGCTTTGTGTCAAAGGAACAATAAATTAATATTTATTGAAAATGTTTTCACATTTTTCACAATCTCGCGAGTGCAAAAACCTCAAAATGTGAACACCTCCTAATTTGAACGCTTTTAGCCGGTCCCAATGGCGTTCGGTTTAGACAGGTTTTACTGTAATCAAAGATTGTCTGACTGCCGTTTGCGATAACCCACATGTCTCTTTTGGAGAGGCGGTTGCCTCACCTACCTTTAAGTTAGGCCTATAGCAGGTTAAGCCCATACAATATATCGTACGTGCCTTTTCCAAACAAAATGGTATATAATAGAAATCGAATACTATGCATCATTTTCGAATCACCGCGTTACCCCTTTAGATATATGAATAAGATACAGTTTTTACGACCTCCATCTTGTGGAAATCACATACCTTTTAAAAGCATCCTCGTTTTCCTTCAAGCTTCTTTGGTCGCCAGCTCCCTGACTGTAGTATTGCCAAATGAGAGGACCATGGGGGCGTCGACTTAGAATTTCTCTCGCGGCTTCCTCGTAGTCTTTTAAACAAGTCAGCTTTTTAGTAACAGGTCCCATTTTCTTGAACGTGTGGTAATGAGAATCGATTTGTGTTATCCTGACAGTGTGACTGGTTTACCACATACACAGTTTTACACCAATAAGAATGTATCTTACTTATTTAGTACATTAGCCTAATTCAAAGATGTACTGAAATACTTAAACAGTTGTCTCTGCACGAAGCTGAGATTTATCCAACGGAAATGTTAATGAGACGCCTTAAATCCCTGCATTAGTATATCTTTTTTAGACCATGGTTTAAAATGCCCAATTGTAGCGGTGTTTTATCCAACTTTCGAATGGCTCTGGATAATTTAGGAAATGTCGACCCCCCCCCCCCCCAACATATTGATCAGCCATTTAAAAGTTGAATTAAACTCTGCTACTTGCGTTTTCCCTAAATTTATAACAGCATGTTCATCATGTTAATTAAGCAAATTAATGAAGATTTTTGTTAGTAACGTAACATAAATATTGTATAATTGTTGTATATTATATGTTCTACTATTAAATACTCACAAGCGTGGATCGAACTCGGAATAAATGAAAAAATTTTTTTTTACTATACAATCACTTTCATTCAGAGAATCAAAGCTAGGCTATTCAATAAAATGTACATTGACCTCTTAATATTTTGATAGCTTCAGATTTATCGGGTTATCTATCAAAGATCAAATTCTCTTTGTTATAAGAATATGTCGCTCTTGTAACTGTGTACAGCATGTATGCTTGTATACCAGTATATTCAAACAGCATATGTATTACCCGGGACGTATTATCATATCATATCTGTCAGCGAGAGAACATATAACTCATAAAAGCCATCCCGTACTGCGCTAGCAAAGCAATCTATTTTCCACAATGGGACCTTAACACCCCCCCCACCCCCCATTGGGCCTTACCCCAACTACGTTTCCCATTGCATTCTTTCAAACAAAACTCTGTGTTACAATGTATGTGATTTCATACTCTTTGTTAATGATGAAATTGTATGTCTGGACCTTGATTAAATTATACCAAGTTTTCTTGATATATTAAACCTATTGACACAGGAAATTGCAATTGTAAAGTTTGGCATCGAATAAGTTGTTTGACAAAGGATGAGTCTGGGAATGAGTCTGGGTATCGACTTAGAAAATATTGAAAATTGTAATGTCTGAAAAACCAACTCAATCACACATATTATTAAACTTCAATATCTTATCCTTCTTATGAGATTACAAAATTATCAATTGTATCACAGTTGATGAAAAATATTGGGATCAAAGACAGTGCATATCACTTTGTCAGAATTGAAAAAAAATCAATGGCAAATATTAAATGAATTATTTATACAAAATGTGTGAAACATATCCTCCAAAACATTGCTTACTTTCTTTGTATAGACATTGAATGGTATTTCTGGATAAGTTAATTGGTGTTTATCTGGGTAATCAAGGGATTATAGTCACTCAAAGGTACTGAGCATCCAGTTTTGACACTTCAATTGTGTTGGTGAAGTTACACATCTTTCAGTCAAATTCATGCTGAGCACAACATTTCGGTTTCAATTTTATAATCTCTATACATGACCTTTGTGATGAAGAGTCAGAATCAGTCAAAAAACCTAAACCGGAAAACTGTGCTCAATGTGAAAACTAAAAGTGAAGCAACTTTTTTTCTGATATTTCTTACATCAAATGGCAGCCATCTTGTTTTTCCCCCTTCAAATTAAACTGGCGGGAAATTCAAAAATTTGAAAAAAAATTTAATCCTTAAATATATTTCAAAAATATGATTTTATTTTTAATTCTTCATGGATCTTAAGTTATTTCTTCTTTGTATGTCATACATGTTGCCATTGGTGTTTTTTTTATGATAATGACCCTTTTTTTATTTGTTAAGATACTTATTCTGACTCTCAGCAGGGGGTTAATTATGCATCAAAACTCATGAAAAAGTAAATATACTTATCAAATATAACTAGGACAGTTATAAAAACCATATTTCACATACATTTGACTGAGGGACCAAAAGGGCATATATCCAGACACATCCTTTAGCTATTTCAGCATTTCATGCAGTCATAATATAAACAATAGCACTATACAGCTATATCAAGTATCATATAGAATCTTATAACAGCAATCTAACTTAATGTCATCATGTACCCCAATTGGAAATAATTACAGTAAAACCTGTCTAACCCGAACGCCGCTTGGGACCAGACAAAAATGATTAGATTGGCAGATATTCACATTTTGAGTTTTTTGAAGCATGGACGTTTATGGCAGAATAAACAAGACATTACAATGCAAAATGGCACCACCCACCATTTGTTACAGACGCCGAACACCAACAGCAGTCCAAAAAAAGTTAGAGAATACACAATAGGTCACTACTTCTGGAGGTGAAATAAAAATGGGTCCAGCATTGTATTTCAGGGTATGTACGCTTTTATCGTATGATCTGTAAAATGAAGCCCTCTGATTGGTCAGTTCTTGTGCTGTACCAATCTGTATTGCTACTGAGATTGTCCCAATTGATCATCATCATGGTACGGAGGGACAATCTCAGTAGCAATACAGGGAATACTGAGATATTTCCTAGGGATTATCTCCTAAATAAAATGTATTGGCCTAAGATCACACGATAAAAACGTTGTAGAATGACTTGAAGAGCAATATACCCAGAATACAGGATATATTCTGCTCTCGATATTCTGTATTGTCACTTGGCTTCGTCTCGTTCCAATACAGACTTTCTCGAGCAGAACATATTCTGCATTGCCCTTCAAATCATTAAATAACTTTAGTTTGAGATAGTTGTTTTTGATATTTGCAAATGTATGCATATTCTAGCCTATTATTGGACGGTAGCGAGGATTGGCCAAGGGGTGTTCACTTTTTAAAAATGCCAGGGGGGTTCACTTTCGACAACTTTGGCCCAAAAAGGGTCAAAATCGCTTGAAAAGTGCTCAGAATTATGAATAAAAACTGCATGATTTTGAAAGACCCCCACCCCCTGGCTACGGGTCTGCCAGAATGCTGTACAGTATTTCAGACTTTTCCACTATCATATTTTTATTTTTTCAGTTTTTTTCATTTTAATACCTTTATACTACAACATGCAACGTGAGTATAGTGATAGGTGATACATGTCAAATTTGACTATAGAATGTGTAATATAATAAGTCCTCATTTGATAGCATTCTATCAGTTGGCCCATATTATAGGAACATTTGATCGCATTCTTTCAGTTGGCCCATATTATGGGAACATTTGAGGCATGAATTGATCTGAACACTAAAACTGTCTCTAATACACAGCCAAACCACATCCACGTGGAACCCATGTCGCAAGGATCCACGAGAAATCCACGTTGAATCCATCTATCCATGTGGATTTTTCTCATGTGAATGCAGGTAGATGAATGAAATTGTCCACAAGTATGTGCATGGAACTTAATTGGAATCCACGAGTATTTCAGCCACCAGGATCCATATGGTTTCTACGTGAATTGGATCGGGAGTGTACTGCCTGCATCCACTTATAAATAATTATTGGCAAGGAGCAAGGTCAAATATCAATGTCCTATTTTTGCAAAAAACATTACAATCGGGGGAGGGGGAGAGAGATTAAATCACATATTTCATAATGAAAAAAAACATTGACTTGCTTGACAGTGATGTAATTTCGATGTTCAATAAGGATTAACAACTTTGTTGAATGGTTGTCTAACAGGTGGTTTAAGCATAATAAATGAGTTTTGCAAAATACACTGATATTTTGAACCGCCCCTAATTTTAAGTATTCAGTTTCAATCTGCATCCTTGTCCGCCAAATCATCCATTTGTTTTTGTAATTCCCTTTCAATAACTTTCCGCCTATCACAGAACCCCAAGTTTCCTTTCCCAAATGAATTAGGACCTGTTGGAGTTATAGTATTTCTGGAATAGAAGTGAAAATAAAATTATATTTCTGAAAATAAATGAAATGTAAAAAGTACACTTTCTAATATCATAGTCATCATAATAAATATAAAATATGGTTCACATTTGTGTTTCCTTGTCATATAAACTGATAAATATGATATCATTGAAAGATATTTTTAAAGAATTCTGATGTCCTCGATACATTTGTTCAAAAAGAAAATCTGTATGCATAAACTAAACAACTGACAATATAGTGATTTTTGGTTTTAAAAATTAATATGGAAACAATCTTCTGACGTGGGTTTAAAAACCCAGTGAACATTTTTCTAAAAAATGACCTCATGGAAATTAAGCAAAATCAAAATTGGGAGACTGTTATTTTTTGTAAAATGTCTTACTTTCCGAGATTCCTCATTCTCATCTTTGCTTCAGGTGGCATCTCATCCTCTGAATCATCACTCTGGAATAAAAATCAATTTATTGCAGGATGAATGTGTAAAGATATAGCCTTTTTGGGACAGTGAGTACTGTAAAAATAAGCTATGTTTATTTACTCATGAAGCGTAATATGTACATCATTTAGCAAATGGAATGCTTGTTTTGGGTGCTGCAAACTGTTTAGTATAAAAGGTGCAACTCTGGAATAATACTAAAGGGTGCACAGGTTGAGGTCACTGTGTAAAGACCTCTGCCTTGTTTATGTAGCCATAGTATAGTATAGATGACACTGACACTCTATAGTATGACCAAAGAGGTCACCATATAAATCAATGGAGAGTAGGACCACAATTTGATAGGACCTCCTACCCTTTTACAAAGTATTGACACACATCATGGTCTAATGAAATGTTCTGTAAACGAAAAGTAGTTTGGATTAATACAAGGGTTTATTTACCAGGTATTTTATGAAGCATTAAATTCTGAGAATGTTATGGTTGAGTAGCTTGTTATTATTAGCAGTAATCTGATTGGGTAAAGTTAGATCAGAGGATTATCTCTTTCCCAGAATGCAGAAGAGGCAAGAAGTAAAATCAAACTATTAACAAGAACACAAATGTGTACAAAATGTCCCCACCAAGTGGTGATCCCGTGAAATGGTTATCCTGAAAATGAGTAGACAAGACTTTACCAACACAATTTGAGGACGGAAAATCCAAAGTGGCCACCTTAAAATTTACCCAGAATGCCAAAAATTTAGTCAGTTCTAGATTTTCATACTAAGAACCACCCCTGAAAATTTGAAATTGATCCGTCACACAGTTAACCAGAAAACATGTAAACAAGACTTTACAGACAAGACTTCAGGATGGAAAATCCAAAATGGCTGCCTTGACATTTACCAAGAATGTCAAAAAACTAATCTGTTTGTAGATTTTAATACTAAGAATCATCCCTGAAAATATGAAATTGATCTACCAAACGGTTCACCTGAAAACGGGTAGACAAGACTTTACAGACAAGATTTTAGGACAGAAAATCCAAAATGGCTGCCTTAACATTTACGCAGAATGCAAAAAGAGTAATCAGATGTAGATTTTCATACAAAGAATCATCCCTGAAAATTTGAAATTGATCTATCAAACCGTTCACCTAAAAACGCGTAGACAAGATTTTACAGGCAAGATTTTAAGACGGAAAATCCAAAATGGCTGCCTTGACATTTACCCAGAATGCAAAAAAACTAATCAGTTCTAGATTTTCATACTAAGAATCATTCCTGAAAATTTGAAATTGATCTACCAAACAGTTCACCTGAAAACGAGTAGACAAGACTTTACAGACAAGATTTTAGGACGGAAAATCCAAAATGGCTGCCTTGACATTTACCCAGAATGCCCAAAATCTAATCAGATCTAGATTATCATACTGAGAATCATCCCTGAAAATTTGAAATTGATCTACCAAACGGTTCACCTGAAAATGCGTAGACAAGACTTTACAGACAAGATTTTAGGAGGGAAAATCCAAAATGGCTGCCTTGACATTTACCCAGAATGCCCAAAAACTAATCAGATCTAGATTTTCATACTAAGAATCATCCCTGAAAATTTGAAATTGATCTACCAAACGGTTGACATGAAAACGCGTAGACAAGACTTTATAGACAAGATTTTAGGACGGAAAAATCCAAAATGGCCGACAATAAAAAAGTGATTATGAGTTTTTGCTGATTTCTTTTTACAAAATTATCACATATAACTACTGTTAACAATAACATAGGCTTTTACAACAAAGTACACCTGAAATTATTTATAAAGCTAAGAAATAGTTTAAGTATGAAAACTGAAAAACACCATTCAATATGATACAAAGTATTATCGTGCGCTAACTTTTCTTAAAACATTCAAAATGGCTGACATGACTGAGCTAACAGGTCCAAAACCTAATCAGATCTAGAATGAAGTGAGCTGAACAAGATATTAAAGTTTTAAAAGCAACTGTGAAGCCGTTTTTCTTAAAGTTTGCAGACAAGGATTTTAGCATTTGACTTCAAAATGGCCGACAGGAAGTAGGTATCGAGTTAATTTTTTTTCATCCACATCTATATGCACTCATAAGTTATCCCTGAAAATTTGAAGGTGATATCTGTAGCGGTTTTGGAGAAAACTGCCGGACGTACGGACAGACGGACAGACAGACGGACGCGCCTAGGCCGACAATATGGCCCCACACTATGTGGTGGGGACATAAAAAGGGTTGGTCAAAGATTATGAGTGTAGTTTAGTCACATATCACTTACATCATCCTGAAAGGCTTTTGCCACGGATAAACTTGTTTTATTCACTCTGCTTTGTGATGTCTCTTTCGTTTTCTGAAAAATACAAAAAATAGAATATCAAAAAGTGTAAATATTATTTTAGTAATGATAACCCTAATATCCCAACAATGACCTAATATACAAAGAGACTATTGTCTGACACTCACTCCCATTCCCTTTACCATACAGCAATCATTTTCACTATCCTAAATGATGAGACATTTTATGATGATTTAAAATCTGACATCCAAATCATCAGTTTTTTTCATACTATTGAAGTCAATTAGAAAATTTGTGATTCCTTAATACAGATAGCATTTACATACAAGAACACAAATGTGTACAGAATGTCCCCACCAAGTGGTGATCCCATGAAATGGTTATCCTGAAAATGAGTAGACAAGACTTTACCAACACAATTTGAGGACAGAATATCCAAAGTGGCCACCTTAAAATTTACCCAGAATGCCAAAAATTTAGTCAGTTCTAGATTTTCATACTAAGAACCACCCCTGAAAATTTGAAATTGATCCGTCACACAGTTAACCAGAAAACATGTAAACAAGACTTTACAGACAAGATTTCAGGATGGAAAATCCAAAATGGCTGCCTTGACATTTACCAAGAATGTCAAAAACTAATCTGTTTGTAGATTTTCATACTAAGAATCATCCCTGAAAATATGAAATTGATCTACCAAATGGTTCACCTGAAAACGGGTAGACAAGACTTTACAGACAAGATTTTAGGACAGAAAATCCAAAATGGCTGCCTTAACATTTACGCAGAATGCAAAAAAAGTAATCAGATGTAGATTTTCATACAAAGAATCATCCCTGAAAATTTGAAATTGATCTATCAAACCGTTTACCTAAAAACGCGTAGACAAGACTTTACAGGCAAGATTTTAAGACGGAAAATCCAAAATGGCTGCCTTGACATTTACCCAGAATGCAAAAAAACTAATCAGTTCTAGATTTTCATACTAAGAATCATTCCTGAAAATTTGAAATTGATCTACCAAACAGTTCACCTGAAAACAAGTAGACAAGACTTTACAGACAAGATTTTAGGACGGAAAATCCAAAATGGCTGCCTTGACATTTACCCAGAATGCCAAAAAACTAATGAGATCTAGATTTTTATACTAAGAATCATCCCTGAAAATTTGAAATTGATCCATCAAATGGTTCACCTGAAAACGCGCAGACAAGACTTCACAGACAAGATTTTAGGACCGAAAAATCCAAAATGGCCGACAATAAAAAAGTCCTTATGAGTTTTTGCTGATTTCTTTTTACAAAATTATCACATATAACTACTGTTAACAATAAAGTAGGCTTTTACAGCAAAGTACATCTGAAATTATTTATAAAGCTACTAAATAGTTAAAGTATGAAAACTCAAAAACACCATTCAATATGATACAAAGTATTATCGCACGCTAACTTTTCTTAAGACATTCAAAATGGCTGACATGACTGAGCTAGCAGGTCCAAAACCTAATCAGATCTAGAATGAAGTGAGCTGAACAAGATGTTAAAGTTTTAAAAGCAACTGTGAAGCAGTTTTTCTTAAAGTTTGCAGACAAGGATTTTAGCATTTGACTTCAAAATGGCCGACAGGAAGTAGGTTTCGAGTTAAATTTTTTTCATCCACATCTATAGGCACTCATAAGTTATTCCTGAAAATTAGAAGGTGATACCTGTAGCGGTTTTGGAGAAAACTGCCGGACGTACGGACGGACAGACAGACAACCAGACAGACAGACAGACGGACGGACGCGCCTAGGACGACAATATGGCCCCACACTATGTGGTGGGGACATAAAAACTAGATAAATGTAGAATATGTCATACTTCCTGAGTTTTGCTGCCTAGGCTCATTTTGATTGGTTTAATAGCTTTATTGCTGCCCCCTATGTTCATGGTTAGTTTCTTCTGTGGATTGAAAGATCCAAATCCTGTTGATTTTTTAACTGGGGGCCCATCACCATCCTCTGCCTCCCCATGATCTGTGGACTTCCTTTTGATCTCCTTCGCCCTGTGTGAAGTAGCACCTGATTAATAAAGACTGGATAACATTGATATTCATTCTATAAATACTGGATCTCATAACACATTTGATGGCAGTAATCTATGACATTTTGACCATGCCTATTCTTGACTAATGTTCTTGTCAAAAGGGTTCTGTAGGTTCTTTTACTTTTGCTAGAATAAACAATAAAAGGCCATAAGTAAACTAGTAGGATTAGCCTGGAGACCTAACCTGCTGTACAGTATTTATCTTTTAATTACAACCAAAACAAAAGTTTTGTTACATGTAGTCCATATGACAAGTTACACAAAATGAACCAGTGAAATGGTGTTGAAAAATGACATCTTTACCATGCTTACTTACAAGAAAAGTTGACCAGCAGAAATATACAAAAGTTAGAGGTTCAATTTTTACTTGGTTCAGTTTTTCGTGCATGCATGAATAAGATAAAAAGTCTTTCATTCCTTCAAATTACTTTTCTGCGATTGGTTCAGTTTTAATTTATATACCAAATGAAAGATTATTGCCAAGAAATAGAGAAGATATATTGGAGTTGAGAGTTGTTTTTACAACATACAAATATATTCCCACAATATAAGATGCATTATGCAGGGGTTTCATTAGGAGCAGACAGCAGACAACAAATCACCTGTTGTTCTTAAGGACTTCAAATTTTTCCATGTTAATAATTTTGCCTATTGTTTTCATTTATTTAGCCTGTTGTGAGCAGAAATCCTAGTGAAACCCCTGATTATGGGTAATGACTGCTGTAAAATATTGAACATAAGTGACGTCTATTTAAAAATGTATGTAGTTATTAGTTATTGATCATGCATGTGTCTATATAATCTTAACTAAACAAATTGATGGATGTAATGCGCATACTCAAAATTTGAACCTCGCGCAGATAATTGCCCTGCTAGTGAGTCTCTATCATTCATGGTGCATGTTCGGAATTTTGCTGCAACCATCAATACGGTCACATTTTATTTTTCAAATTTGAATCATTCCTTCCCAACAGTGTCTACATCTTTTACTTTTGCACAATGAGTGCACTAATGTACCTAGAAAAGAATGTACAGAAGAATGTTTTATCGATAAAATGTATAATAAAAAAACAAAAAAAATCATTGAAAAACTTCAGAAAATTTGTTGCCTGAATAATTTCGTTTTTTATACATTTTACAAAACAAATCTTATCACCAGTTTTTTCTAGGCACATTAGTGCACTCTTTGTGCAAAACTGGAAGATGTAGACAATGTGTGGAAGGAGTGATTCCTGTTTGAAAAATAACATGTGACTCAATTGAGGAATGCAGAAAAATTCAGAACATGCACCCTGGCCTAAAGATGTTCTTTCAACAATGTGTTAGATTGCAGAAAACCAGTCATTGGTAACAAAAAGAGCTACTTATGCTGAAAATAATATCATCATCATTCAATTTCAATTCATCCATCTAAAAAAATCTCCAAAAGACCTCCTAAATTCAACATACTATTCATCGAAATGATGCAAAACTATACAGAGGCCGATTCGATAATACTGAGTTTACAATATTAAGTCTTGAATTAAACGATACGATCTTAAATAACTGTAAAATTGCAAATATAAACCTGAGTTTGAGTTTTTTGGAAAACGTTCCGCCATCTTGCTTTTCTATATTGGTTTTCGTTCAGTTTCTTTTTGTTTTCAATTTTTTTCAATCTTATTAAATAATACTCTTGCTTTACATAATAGATATGAGATTAGAATATGAAATTCTAAATTTGACTTTGATTTGTACACATAATAAAGATAATAAAAGTATACTTTTCTCCCGGGGTTTCCAACAAAGAAAGCGCGGGAAAAATTACTATCCGGATATGATTATTGCGCATGCGTGAGCTTCTTATAAACACCGCTGCAAATGAAAATGCTGTTAGACAAATGGTAAGAAATCTTTGCTATAACTGTTGAGAACCATAGAAATTCATAAACTGTGTATACGACATATATGAATTCATCATCTACCATGATCATAATAATTTATGTTTGATATATATTCCAAACCTCGCAAATTTGATGTTGAACTTAGCAATATTTTGAGCCAAATTTTGATCTCATCTCAGTGAATTTTGTTTCATTTTATCTTGTAGATCTAGACTGGGTTCTTTGCTGAACGCATGAATATGCTAGTATACTTCGCTTATGCCTTCCTTTTTCAATTTAGAGTTGCATCTTATAGGGTATCAATTTTCGTGAAAATTGACCTACATTTTTGACCTATTTGGCCTCAAATGTTGACCTAAATTCTATTTTTTGGTACAAGCTTGGTTCACATGCTATCTATTGCAAGACTTATGCCTGGCACAACCGTCACCATGTTATTAAGTGATTTTATGTCCCCACCACATAGTGTGGAGCCATATTGTCGGCCTAGACGCGTCCGTCTGTCTGTCCGTCCATATGTCCGGCAGTTTTCTCCAAAACCGCTACAGATATCACCTTCAAATTTTTAGGGATAACTAATGAGTGCATACAGCTGTGGATGAAAAAAATTAACTCGATACCTACTTCCTGTCGGCCATTTTGAAGTCAAATGCTAAAATCCTTGTCTGCAAACTTTAGAAAATCGGCTTCACAGTTGCTTTTAAAACTTTACGAAGTGTCTGGAGTACCTTAAAATTTTAGCCAAAATGCTAAAGAGCCTTAAAATTTAAAGCTATTTAGCTGTGAACATAGTGTTTTGGCTAGAGAGCCTTTGTGTTTATAATCCGTGTTTATATTGTTTTTATTGAAGTTTTCGTCATCTAAACAATAAAACAACACTCTCGAAAGTTTTTCAACCCAGAATGCCACTTAAATATTTCACACATGTATATCACTATAGGCGTGCAAAAAAATTAATCCATTCATGGAAAAACTCACTGGTATAGTGGTTAGGGTGCTCGTTCTCCACTTCTGCAGCGGGGGTTCGATTCCCCGAAGGTGCACTTTTTATTTTGAATAACAAGCCGGAAAATTGTGCACTGAGGTCCGGAAATTACTATGTACACAATTTTTTCTAGAATTCTTGGGCTTGCTCCATCGCTCAATCATTAATTAATCACTTGTATTGGCTTTGCTATAGTCACGAGAATACAGGGAATCCCATTTTAAGATGGCAAAAGTATGATGAAGACCTGGGGATGAAAAAGGATCTTGTTTCTTCTAGATACAGCACACCTTGACGCAGTTTATCGTGAATGCAGGGACATCAGCCCAGGGACATCACAGAATACACTTCCAAATCTATTGCCCATTAGATTTCAATGCTGCTTTTTAGAATTTTTCATGTGACGAGATATTTTTGCATAATAGTTTCCTCACAAGTGAGAATCTAAGCACATGAGATAGCACAAAGAAAATTTACAGTACAAGAGGTGAACTGCCGATTGAGGAAACAGCGGCTTACACAACAACATTTTTATCCTAGCCTCCAATCCATCAATAAATGTCTATACATCAAAATCTTTACTAAACAGACGTTGCGATTTATAGTGGATAAAATGGTAAAAAATAACATTTTTCTGGCTATACGTGATTGCCTGGTCTTACACCTTTTCTGGTGAACCAGAGACATATTTTCGATATATGCATGAACGGTCCATTCAAAATCGATGTTTGAACCTTTGAAAAGCCAAATTTAGACTGAGGATTGAAAAGGTTCTGAGAACTTTTATTTCTCTCGGTAGACCGGAAGTAAATTTATGAGTCGAGCAAAAAGTGATAATGTTTATTTATGAAGTGGGGAAGTCAAAACAGTACTAATAGAAGTCATAGTAAGCATTAGCAGATCATTTAAATAACCATATAAATAAAATCGACGGCAAAGATGAAATGACTGAAATCTTTATATGTTTCCTTCTTCATCTTCGCGGACCTCAGAGAAGACACTTCCGGTTTAATAATCAGTGATTTTATCGATCAAAAAATATTTTCTTTATAATTTTGTCCGATATCTGCTTAATATGGTATGTATATGTGTGCTGAATATTAAATTACATAATAGGTTGGGTATAGAATAGTCAAAGTCTTTTGATCTCGTCCCAGAAGCAATATTTTGTCATTTTGCACCTAAAATTCCCTTAAAGGAACATTCCTTGCCAGACTATTTCTCTCCTGATATGGTAGCTACAATCATATATAAACTTTACATATTTAGCAAAACACGGGGAAATGTTTTCATATGGTCAATATTGATCATTTAAAAGTGTAGTACTCATTCCCAGTAAGCTGCCATCTTTTCAGATTTCTTTCAGGAAGTGATGTCATCGGCTCTCACCTGTTCTAACCTTGTCTATTACAGTATAGGAAAGAAGTATAAAATCACTTCTAAACAAGAAGCCCTTATCTTCTGTGTAAAATTATTATCAGGAGTTGTCAACTTAGAACTAAAGAAGAGATCATCAAAAGGATTTTAATCATGGACCAAATTGAAAAAATATTCAGCTGGTTTAGTAATTCTAGTAGCTCCTTACCTAATGTTATATGCAAAGTTGAGAGTCGATGACATCACTTCCTGAGTGAAATTTTAAAAGATGGCAGCCTACTGGAATTGAGCACTATTTAGTGATCAATATTGACCATTTCAAAACATTTTTCTGTTTTTTGATAAACTTGCAATGTATGTATATGGTTATAGCTACCATATTAGTAGAGAGATGGTCTGGCAAGGAATACCCCTTTAAGGCTCTCTAGTGAAATTGGCTATCAAAATGCTAAAGAGCCTTAAAATTTAAGGCCCTTTAGCCGAATTGCTAAAGAACCTTAAAATTTAAGGCTCTTTAGCATTTTGGTAACCCATTTGGCTAGAGAGCCTTAAATTTTAAGGCTCTCCAGGCGCGGCCAAAACTTTAACATCTTGTTCAGCTCACTTCATTCTACATGTGATGAGGTTTTGGACCTGTTAGCCATGTCATGTCAGCCATTTTGAATGTTTTAACAAAAGTTAGCGCGTGATAATACTTTGTATCATATTGAATGGTGTTTTTGAGTTTTCATACTTTAACTATTTAGTAGCTTTATAAATAATTTCAGGTGTACTTTGTTGTAAAAGCCTATGTTATTGTTAACAGTAGTTATATGTGATAATTTTGTAAAAAGAAATCAGCAAAAACTCATAATCACTTTTTAATTGTTGGCCATTTTGGATTTTCCCAAAAGGGTGATCATCGAATCTTGGATAACTTGGCCTTAGACATTTCTGTCGCACAACAGGTCCACTTCAGTTCCCAAAATATCATAATTTATCAAAGACAGAGACTCATTTTTTGCTTGGTTGAAGCATGAGCTTTCAATCAGAAAGCTTTCTAGTTTAAAGCCCATGGTTGAAGTAAATAAATATATTTTGAACAAATGAGGAGGAGTAAAGGTTGACAATCACGGATAAAGTAAATCTTTCAAACTTTTCCAGGAAATTTTCAGGAAGTGGTTTTGGTCTCTTTAATAGTCCTTCTAGATAGAAAATGGTCAGGTTACAGGTTACCATCGCTCTAGGTGTCATTCTAGATGTCAGCTGTTGATACAAGTTCTTGTGTTCATTGCTTCTACTGGCGGATATGGAGGGAGGCACCCCCCCCCCCCTTGGGTGGGCCCAGAAAAAATTGGGCCCAAAAAAAATTTGGGGCCAAAAAAAGCCTTAAGGCATTACTGGGCCTTGTAAGGCCTTATTTTCAATTTCAGGCCAAATTTTGAAGAAAATGGGCCTCAAAATTTCAAAATTTGGGTCCACTTTTGGATCTTAGAGGCCCAAATTTTTTTTCTCTGACCTGAAATTTGCCCCCCCCCCCCTTGTTGGTTCCCAGATCCGCCCCTGGTTTCTTCCAATTTTAGTAATTCCTGAAAATGTTCACAATTTTCCAACAAACAATCAATTTCTGCAGAAGTGTTCCTTGTTTTCATTTGTTGAGAAAAGTTGAAGGAAAATGTTGCAGAAGTATATGAGGGATTTATTAATGGTAATCAGATGATGACTGAACAAATTCAATGTACAGTAGTTTTAAAGGTTTTGTAATTAAAGAAATGTGCTCTCTTTTGAGGACAGGTTTTTGAGAAAATGAAACTGACCAAAAAATACTGCAAAACCAGATGGTGATTGAAGTTTTAAAGATAAAGAATTATCAAATTTTATGAAAGCCTTTCTTTAAGAATTGCTCTAAAACTATTCATTTGGGGAAAAAGTGTTTAGAGAAAATTTGTTGAGGAATTGAGCGATAGAGGTGCATGAAAAACCCGTAAGATAATGAAACAAATTGTTTTAAAGATTTGCTTCATATTTCAATTTGTTCAAAAACATCAGAAGTGGAGTGTATCAAGCTTCATGGTACACTTTACATGGTGAAATCAGACTCTTCAACAAGATAAATTTTCTCAACCCTTGTCTTCACCTATAAGTTTCCTGCTGCATAGAGACAGACCTCTACCCTTACAGTATACATACAGGATAGAGCATTTTACTAGTTTGCAGTAGCATCAATTTAACCTCTTGAATTTAATCTATATTAATACTCTGCAAAAGCCTAAATCCCAATCTGGTGTCAAAGCACCAATGTAAAGTAGTACCCAGCTGTCATTTTTGTTTAGATAAATAATGTTCTGATCCTTCTATTTTCAGATGGCTGTACTAAGTGAAAGCTAACAAGGAATTTTAACATGACCGTTGTTTTAGTTTGAATTTCATAAACTTCAGGATCTGCACATCATATATCAGATAAGATGTTATAACAATAGTGCCTCAGTCTGTCTATGTTTAGCTTCATTAAAGGCTTTGTAAACAAAGGTATAACAGCTTTATCAAAAATGACAAAATCATCTAAGGTGCCCGACAATGATACCTCAAAAGGTGCTAAAGCTCAGCCAGGACGGAACAAAGCCAGAAAAAGTTTTGAAGTCATCAAATCTAGATCAAATGTTCAGAGTGTCTCTCCAGACCGTAAGCCATTCCCAAAGCACAAAGCCAGGAAAAGTCCACCACATGGCCCAACTTCAGAGCTTATTTCAAAAATGAGGCAGGAACAATCAATGGAAAAAGTCAAAAAGTCTTCTTTAGGGAAAGTAAAACTTAAGAACAAAGCTAGAAAGAGTATGCCACAGTCTCCTATTGGGAAGAAAGAAATTGAAGATGTTACCACTGTTAACTTATTCCCAATTGCAAATGTTTCACTAAAGCTACCGGAAATACATGATGCATTTGGAATTGATGAACCCAAGAAAACACAGGATGTTATATTTCGTAAGATGAAACCAGAATCAAGGTCACAATCTGAGAATTCTGGGAAGGGAGACGATGCAAAGAAAACAAGATTAAAAAAGCGCAAACGGTTAAGAAGATTTAGAGGCGGAACTTATAGCCTGGGATTTAATAGTACAAAAAATAAAAACAAAAAGTCTAAATTAACATCATCTCAAACACAGGAACACAAGACTAATACAAATGAATCAATTTTTAGTGATATGAATCGTGACCATCTCAGGACCAGTAGTAGTATCAATCAAACAAATCTTCACCAATCGTTGACAAACATGTTAAAAAACGACAAACTCGAAATACAGGAACAGCTTCAACGAGTCATACAAAGTGGGACACAAATAGTTGATATCGATCCCAGTAGAACAAGCTCATCCGATGAGTCCATGAAAAGTCGACCTATGTCATCATTGAATTCATCTTCAGAGTCATCACAGCATCAACCAGGTTTTACTTCTGCATCCAATCATTCAGCTATTGTAGATGCTTCATCATTAGATTCAGATGCTTCATTAGATGTGGCTTTCTCCCAATCAAAGGGATCCTCCTCTCCTACTGCAAGGAAACAAATGACAATTGCCCAAACTCTTGCAAGGCCACTTCCTGAGGATAGAGCCCATCCAGGTAATTGTATTATTTGATTTTGTATTGAAGAGGGTCAGGCATGGCTAATTTGCCCATTTTTGTCCTTAGTGCTGTTTGTAAACTCTTGACATAATGAATATAAACTAAATAAAGAGGTAAAACATTTCTGAACAATTAACAAGAAGTGAGTTGTTTTACATGGTCATAGCTGTTAAGAATGCATTATTTCTAAGTATACCAATCTGTAAAATTACATGTTTGTAAATTTCCACAACTTTTCCAAAATCAGGTGCTGACTCTATTAGATTGCTTAGGAAGAGGAAACCTGGGGGAACAGGGGGAAGCGGGTCTCAGTCTGAGGCTGAATCAAGTGACACAGAAAAACATACTCGGAAGAAAGGTAAAGATTCTCATTTTTTCAAGATAATTTGTATTTGAAATTGATATATTATGACCCCCAGGAATTACTGTTCCACCGATCTCAATTGGTTTTTCCAGGAATCTAATTACAACTGTTTCATATTGGTATACATTTATAGTATAACAGGCGAGTGAATTCTATGGAGGGGAGAACTAATCCCCATAGGACCACTCATTCCACTCATTTGTGTACATGCAAGTTCTCTTAAAAACATGTAGCTGAACCTCCCTGCTCAATGTTACAGTATTTAGAATTTGAGAAAATATAAAAAAGGAAAATATTTGACAGTTCTAACTTTGAAATTCTCAAGGTAATATCTATGTAGTGCCAGAAATAACATTTAACCAGTGTATCTTTTCACAGCTTTTGTTCATTTTTCACAGCTTTTGTTCATTTTTCATCCAAACTCATATTCTGCTTATATTTTTCTTCCTAGGAAAGAAGCCAAGAATTCAAACAGACTCAGCTGTTGGTTTAAGTGAAGGGGGTGTGAATGAGACTATAGGTGGAGCTAGTGTGCCTTCTTTGGGTGAGCCTAGCACTGTGATTCCTCTCTCGTTAAAGTATGAGCATCAACAAACTCAACGTGCTATTGCAGGTATGGCTCACATACCAACAGAAAGTCTTGCATAGACTCTGTCCCATCATTTTTTTGATTGAGGGGTCAGAGGCTTGATGCAGGACTAGAAATTATTCTTGAACTAACACAATCTGGCACTAGAATTGCACAACATATTTTATACTTGACTTTCTCAACTTTGCTCTAATCCTTAACAAGAGATGGATATCATTCTGCTCTTTTACTGCACTTGAGGATTCAAAATCCAGTGCAGTGCTAGTCTTCAACATATCACTGCGGCGGGCAGACCGTTTATCATAAGCATGGCAACTTTAACAACTGACGTGATTGGTTCTTGTCTCATGCTGGTTTCACGTGATTGTAAAATCTAGACAAGTTCATTGGTTGGATTGCACGTATTAACTAATAAACACAGGTGCGGTGAAACATTATCAACAAAACTTTTAACTCTAAATCCTACCGTGGATATTTTTCTTATATTTCATGTTTTTCGAAATATTTCGACAAAATAATGATTAGGGAACCTAAAAGAATATATATTTTATAAGTTGTGGGAAAATTGAGTACATCTGTGATGAAAACGGGGACTATCTTCTCCAAATTTTGGTAAATCTTGATCTGCCCGCCACAGTGTCTATTCCGAGACACTGCATGGGAGTATGTTGAGGATTGCTATATTCAGTTGTCATGGGCCTTGTATCTGATTGGTGTATGTAGGTGGTACAAGAATGCAACCAATATAGCAAGGAAACTGTTCATTCATTTAACTTGAAAAGTTTAACAGATACAAGCAGACTTGCAAATGTGTAATTAACTTTTTTTGTGGTATGCTTGGTTTTACAATGTAGCCATTTTGAATTTCAAGTTCAATATTTATCACTGTTAGTCTTGCAAGAAATTGTTCCTCATTCTTGTTTTAATAGTATAAAGATTAACTCTGATCTAGTAGTCCAGGGACCATCTTTCAGGACCCGGTGCACTCAATTTAGCATCAGGTTTTATCAAACATAGGTAATAATACAGAATATACTATATCTTCAGTGAAATAATTATAGGATATCCTTTGATTTTGAGGAATAATATTTTTTTATCTACGAGGTGATATTGATATCTGTACGAGAGAGCAAAGCGAACAAGTGTATATATCAATATCACCGAGTTGATTAAAATGATATTCTGAAAAAAATCATAGGGTGTTCTTATTATCCTACACTTACTAGTAGTGTACTAAATGTATAATATCATTGAAAATGAATTTTATGCCAAATAGAGTCATTTTGATGGGAAATCAACAAGCGGAGTATATCGTCGCAATATCCTCCGCATATTGAGTTTTCAAGAATATATCGTTACGATATCCTCAGCATATTGGTTTTCTGGAGTATATCATGGCAATATCCTCCAGTCATTCATTTTGCCAATAGATATATATTTTTTATTAATTTAAATTAATTTGTTTCTTTCCAGAATTGGAGAATGGGAAATTTGTGAATACTCCTGATGGTTTAATGTATCCCGTGACACCCCCTGAGACTCCCGATCACTCGCATAATAACAGCCCTATCCCTACCCAGGCCAAGGGCTCCCTGAAAGACCTTATACCATTGTGTTGCTGTAAAATAACCAGTAATTCATATGCACCAAATAGTAAAGGCATGTATTGTCAGGCATTGGATACATTGCTTAACAAAGTGAGTGAAATGATGCAAAATATCTTATTAATGTAATCAAAAATTGCATGGAGAAGTAATTTTAACATTAAAAATTATACATAGAGTGACCCAAAAAGATCATGTACATGGAAAATAAGATTGATTGCATGTGTTGTTCTGTTTTGGGTCACCCTGCAGTCCCATTTATAAATTATTTTTCATCATCAGCTCAGTAGTGTATTTTTGTCCTTTCAAGCTGTTTTATCTCATATTTGAATTGAATATTCATTTTGAAAAACATAAGGTCAAATGTTTGCCGCTTTTTGTATTGGTAATTTCTAATAATTTATTTAAAAAATATTCTCCTGACTATAGCTCAGCATTAGTTATTTGTTTGTTTCAGATCTGTGGCTGCAGTAACAAGGTCACTGGAGGTCTTTTGGTGCGTCCTGCTCCTAAAGTACCATTTATGGCTGTCTGTGAAGTCCACAGGAAGCGTCTAAAGGTGCATCATTGTTGTCCTGGATGTGGTCACTTTTGTGCTCAGGTAAGCATCAGGTTTGTCCTGGATGTGGTCACTTTTGTGCTCAGGTAAGCATCAGGTTTGTCCTGGATGTGGTCACTTTTGTGCTCAGGTAAGCATCAGGTTTGTCCTGGATGTGGTCACTTTTGTGCTCAGGTAAGCATCAGGTTTGTCCTGGATGCAGTCACTTTTGTGCTCAGGTGTCACTTTTCTGTTCAGGTAGATATCATATATAATGTCATATAATGTAATATGATATCAGTATAATGCTGTCCTTGATATGGTCCCTTGTGCTGATATAAGCATCAGTGGTGTGCTGAATGTAGTGCTGAGTGTGTTTAAAAGGTTGCCAATACATTGATGTTATCCTTCCTGTCATTTCTATGCTCAGTCGAGCATCAGTGTTGTCCTGTTCTCAATATACTGCCATCTATTGAGGTTTATGATATATCTCATTAATATCATTATCTTCACTTTCAGGGAACATTTTATCAATGCAAAGTGGATGAAACGGATCCACATATTTTCCACAAGCAATGTCAGATCCAGAGAGGTGGGGGTACATACTGCCCTCACTGTGGGGAGGAGAGTGTCCATGAGGAGGTGACTATGTCACCAAATGATATAAGACAATCATTAGGTGTCACATCAGCAATGGAGGGATCTCCTAATCTCAAGTAAGGCCACTAATTCAGTTTACATTTTTATTTTGTTTCGCTAAAGTTCATTCTTGTACCGCAACACTGTTTGAAATATATACCTGAATCTAAATTGTAAGTGAAAATTGATCTACCACAACCAGTATATAGCATGAAAAATTTTGTGTTTGAGAATCCTGTGGACTTTTGTTTACAATTTTTGAAAAATATTAATTTATTTATTTATCATGCTTGGACATAGAAGATGGCGCTGAGGAAATACAATTAGTTTCTAGTACATATTTTCCATTTATCCATTTAGTCAGTGTGGCCAGAGATAATAAAATTATTAAAAAAAACTAAGTTGATTTCTTCATATGTTTTAGTGCAACTGCCAGAATGGGCTCATTAGTAAAGAAGGGATCAAATGCTGATGATGATGATGATGCCACTCAGGAACCACCAGCTATACCTCTAGGGCCAGATGGCAAAGCTTTACAAGAAATGATCTCACAATTCGTGGCAATAAAAAACAAGTAATTGGAAATAATTTCTTATGCATCATAAAAATTTTGCTTATACAGGTTATTAAAAATCAAAACTTTATGGTTAACGAAATTGAATAACAGTGTTGTTATATCACCACCAGAAGTGGTGACATATTGTTATAGTCTCACCTTTTTTTGGGTGATGTTTGGCATCTGTAACAAATTACGGCATCAGCAATAAATGGCAGGTGGTGATGTTTTGTATGTACAGGGTGTCCCGAAAGTATGGGCCCCCCCAAGGCAGACATATTCCAGTGTCCTCATAGTATGTGTCACATATCATTTTAAAGCTTATCCAAAGTTACATTGATTTGCCAAGTATCATGGTTTATCTCCCAAATGGGAAAAAGTTACAGTCATTTTAAAAGTTAGTGTTTTGTCAAAATAAAGTTCAATTTTACACCACATTACTAGTCAATGAGCCCCCCCTTGGCCATGTTAACAGCAGCAATTATTTTCAGATATGACCTTAAAAGCCCTTCAAATAGGGGTGTGGAATTTTAAAACCCTCTTAAAACCTATTACTGCACTTTAGAAGAGTTTCGCTAGAGTTTCTACCCTCATCGTTCTCTTTTTCCAACTCAATATCCATCCGACCCGAAAAGAATTGCTGCTGTTAAGATGGCCTGGGGGGACACATTGACTAGTGATTTTGTGTAAAATTGAACTTAATTTTGACCAAACACTAAATTTTGAAATGCTTGTAATTTTTTTACATTTTAGAGTTGAACCATGATACTTGGCGAATCAATGTAACTTTGGATAAGCTTTAAAATGATATATGACACATACTATGAAGACAGTGGTATATGTCTGCCTAGGGGGGCCCCATACTTTCGGGACACCCTGTAAATGACTTTTATGTTATTGCAGGGGACCACAACGACCAAAGTCATATGCTACATCCTTCCTAAAGGCAGCAGCCACAGGTGAACTATGGAGAATCATACAGATGTTAGGTATGTTCAACATCTGTGTCTTTTTCACTGCCACTGTTCAAAGAATAGAAGAAAAAAAACAGAGTAAATACCATAGCACTATTTATGTATATGTTTTTCTTAAAAGGCCATAAAAACCCATAGGGATAACCATCATGTGACTTTCTTTTTTCTGTTTTCTAAATTAAAATAAATGATGTATTATATTTATATTGATTTCACATTGTCCCCCTCCACTTATCTCGGTCTTTCAAACAAAGCCAAATTTTCTGTCAGAAGTTGTATATCGCTTGAGATATTGCTGTTTTTCTTTTCAAGATGAAATTATGTTGCTAGAATACATTTGGGGAATACACATTAGGAGTAGGATCAATATTTCATTATTTTTGACCAATCAAAATAGAGTAAATTGAGGTACTAGCTATATCTCTTGTGACATTCAGGTGAAGGCTTTAATCCTAACCGTAAGTTTGATGGTGGTGAGACAGCACTCCATGCAGCTGCCAGTTCTGGCTACCTGTCCATTGTACATGTACTTATGGAGGTAAGTGGATATAAAGTGCAATAGATTCAGACTGAAAAGCCATCTTGAATTTTTATAGGAATATTTTAATTAGGGTGTGGCGTAAGTATTGTCCTGTTGGACTATGTCCAGTTGATTATTTTTGCATGACTAGGAAAATAACATTACAAGTTGTTCATAATTCAGTCTTGACCAATAGGGCTTAAATTCCAATGGTTAACCCTGAATACAATCATAATACAATATAAATATGACAGGGAAGTTTCTTTTATGACTCTGATCTTTAAATGTGGACTTCACTTTGGACATGGAGTGCATATGTAATAAACTAAAATCTAAACACATAATAAATCCTTACTTTTCATGTTGCCACCAAAAGTGGTTTATGATGACATTATAAAAGCCTCCAACCTTTTGTGGTTGGTGTTCAGCATTCAGCGTCTATAACCAATGGCAGATGTTGACATTTTGCATGTTAATCCCTTTTCTTTATATTCTACAGGCAGGAGCTGTTGGTGACGTATTCAATGAGGAACTTGTGACACCTCTCATGAAGGCAGCAGGCAATAACAATGTCGCAGTAGTCAGGTACCTGGTTGCCGCGGGGGTCGTGGTGGATTCAAAGGTAAATGTGTGTGATAAATTAACGGGACAAAGTTTTAGGAGGGATAAAGAGAAGTTGTCCCTTCATTCTTGTGTATGGACAATTACTCATATACCGATTGGCTGATTGGGTTTAACTTTTATTATAATATTAGTTAGATTGATGATGTCATAGGTTGTACTTTTTTCAAAATTTGCAATAAGTTGATTCTATTGTTACATGGACAGATTGCTATGTAACCAAAATGTATTCTTTTTAGAATTAATATAAGATGGTAATTTTCTTTTGTAGATCTTGTTCTATGTGATCTTTAATTTGCCTTTGATTTGAATATTGATTTGGTTATTTTTTGACATTGACCAAATTATCTCATCTCCATTTTGTATTTTTAGGGAGAATATGGTATGTCTGCATTGCATCTTGCTTCCAAGGCAGGTCACCTAGATACCATACAATATTTGTTATCCACTGGCAAGATAGATGTGAATATCATGGATGATGGGGGCTGGAGTCCAATCATATGGGCTACTGAACACAAGCATGAGAAGGTCGTGAAATATCTTGTTAAACAAGGTGCTAATCCTAATCTAAGAGACCATGTAAGTATGCAAGATAATGAAGCACATATTCATAATATTAAATATAGGATTTCAATGAAAGGATACATGGGCAGAAGAAACTTGATACATTTTTTCTAATTTTGATTGAAAAGTTTTATTGATTTCACTGAAATAACTATTTCTAAAATGTTTCTAAGATTTGGATAATATAAGCTTTATTATTGAATATTTCTAGGAAGAGAACACTGGTCTTCACTGGGCAGCCTACTCAGGTTGTGTTGCAAACATGGAGTTGTTCCTTGACTGTGGATGCAGCCCAGAAGCTGTTAATGAGCATGGTGACAGACCTTTGTGAGTACTGAATTTTCAAGCTTGTGGCTGCTCACAATTTGTGGGGTCACCAGAACATATCTGAAGTTTCTCAATGTCTGTAATTGTAGTGTTACTTTTTTTTAATTCGAATTTTTTGGCATGTAGCATATTATCCAAAATAAGTTCATCATGCTGGCAACAACATATGTTTAATTATTTTACAGGCATATAGCATCTAGACAGGACCATTATGAGGCAGTTGCGTAAGTATATTATTGAAAAGTATTTTATAGTATATGATGTTGAATGATTATTGGAATATTATTATCTATTATTATTAGAGCTGGAGCATCCCCAGCTTAATCAGTCTGGTCTCTCCCACTTCTGGAATTTCCCTCATTCATTTCCCTCAAACATCCTTGAATTTCCAACCAGGCTGTGAATTTGAACTTGAAAAATATACAAATACTGAATAACATTAAAACATTACATTAAAATAATTTTCTAATTTCTTCAATCATTGATCCTCCCATCCAAGTTTGTACTTGTAAGATACGCATTAGAAACTGTGAAAAATGTATGCTAACTATAGAGTTGTTAAGCACATATTTATCATAACATGCTTTCCTTGTTTAGGTTACTCCTGATAAGAGGTGCTGACAGTCAAGCGAGGAACAATGAGAATGAACTGCCTATCAATGTAAGTTGTAAACTGGTTATTTCATGATTTTCCTTTTTAAAAGTGGACTCACTTTGACTAGGTAACATAATATCAAACCTCGATGTTTTCCTCATGCATTTATCGATCGGCTGAATCTGTTTTTGTGCGTTAATCGCCATATATGTGTCGATATCAATGAAAACATTTACTCTAATCCCTCCGACGAGGCCACTTTGGAACTTGACGGCAATACCCAAATCTAAATCTAAAAGCTTTCTGTTATTGACTGGTCTTCATTGTCAGAGAAAATATTTAATATTCATAAAATACTACTACACATTTAAAAAGAAATGAATGTTTGTTTTTGTTAGAAACAGTAAAGAAATATTTCTTGATTGGGAGCTTCCATGATGCACTGCAAATGTCAAATGGTTACTGATACGCTTTGGTCAGATTTACATTTATTATAGCTTTTAACTCATCACTAGAAGGTTGATTATTAATGGAATTTACTCTATTATTGCCCAATGGCAAGTAATGGAAGTTTGGAAGTAATGTCTTGTGGGGAGGGATCAGTATCCATTCAGTATCAATTCCCAAACTATCCAACCACCTAGAGCAAAAAGTTATGTTGTACATGTCCTATTATTATCCCATCGAACGAAGTTCGGAGGGATATAGGGAACGCCTCCGTCCGTCCGTCTGTCCGTCCGTACGTACGTACGTACGAGCGTCCGTCCGTCCGTCTGTCCGTCCGTCCGTCCGTCCGTCCGTCCGTCCGGGCAATAAATCAAATACGGTTGGCCAGATTTTGTTCATATTTTGTACACATATACCCTATGGGGTTAGAAGTTCTGCTCGAAAGCCGATTTTCAAAATGGCCGCTCATTTCAAAATGGCGGCCATTTTAGTGACGATTTTACAGTAATTTAGGTGCAATATGTAAAACTGTATTAGCAATATGTTTTAAATGTAAAAAAATGATAAAGGACGTTAATAATGCTACAAATGTAGATATTAAAGAAGCACATGGCAGCCATCTTGAAAAATGGCGGCCTTTACTCATCATTTTACGATTTTTGCTGTAACTCAAAAAGTAGTGGAGCGATTTTGTTCATAATTGGTATGTGAATACTATAAGCATGGCACACTGTCCTATGACACTTTTGGTAGAAGGCGGCCATTTTGAAAAAAATTTTGAAAAATGGCCGCCATTTTAACATATTTCACTATAACTTGAAAAGTAGTGGAGCGATTTTGTTCATATTTGGTATGTGAATACTATAAGCATGGCACACTGTCCTATGACAATTTTGGTAGAAGGTGGCCATTTTCAAAACAATTTTGAAAAATGGCCGCCATTTTAACGTATTTTACTATAACTCGTAAAGTAGTGGAGCGATTTTGTTCATAATTGATATGTGAATACTTTAAGCATGGCACATTGTCTAATACAACTTTAGGGAGTAGTCGGCCATTTTGAAAAATGGCCACCATTTTTATGGGTGTTATTTTACAAGCATGTGTGCGATTTTTCAAAAATTTTAGAGGTGGCTACTTGAAAGCATATTATTTCTTCTGATGACAACTTGGCTAGTGAGCAACCATTTTGAAAATGGTGGCCTTTCTGGTGTGTTCTTTTATGATATTTGTGCTTCGTTTGTAAAAATGCCAGCCATTTCTGTTCGATGGGATTCGCTACGCTTTGGCGTTGCCGTTGTTCTGGTTTAATGTTACCTACAAGCATTTACGATGTTAAAACCTTGTTATATTAAGCCTGTGGGAATCTGTGCTAGATGCACAGAGCATTTATGTAATCTGCTAATATTTTCTAATTCATGTTTTCAGTGTTGCCTAGACAGTACTAGTAAGGTGTACTTGGCTTTAGAAGTAAATAAACATCTTAAAGATCTTGCTACAAATAAACTCCACAAACCCACAAGATTACTTCACAGGTATGATTCAACATTTCAGTTTTTTCTCATGCTTGGATTTATTTCAATTATCTAATAATTAATGTTGCAATTATTAAACATTGGAAACCTGAATAAAACCCAAAAAAATGAAGTTAAATTTTCCGAATCAGTGTCAGTTATTCTTAAAACAAGGGCTTTTTTCCTGAAATAAAGTTGTCTTTTAAAACTTGTAAAATAGTACAATAGTACTAGTGAATAGTACTTTAATGAATAACTATATTTCTGTTTCATGATTTTTAGAGATGTATCCTGTGGTAAAGAGGCAACACCTATTCCATGTGTTAATGGCTCAGATAGTGAAAACTTCCCACAAGATTACATGTACCTTGTAGCAAATGTAGAGACCATACCTATGAATATCAACAAAATAGTTACCAGTATTCAGGTAAAGTAATTTTAATTCCAATAAATAATATTGAGACCAAGGATTTTATTCCGTTAATTCAAAATCCCAAAAGAGCAATTGAGGTATTTGGTAAAGGTCATATATAATACATTAAACAAAGAATTAAAACAAAGAATTGTTTGTATAGAATGTAAAAAATACATGCATTAATAAAACTCAAAATATACTCTGTCATTGAGCATGGGCAGGACAGTTAATTATGCACATTCTTCCGCATGAAAAATCACATAAAACTTAAGGGGATAGATATACAGTTTAACAAACTGAAACGCTTCATTTAATCCAGTCTCGGTTATGAACTGCAGTGTTTGTACATGTTATAAATGAGGTGAAATGTTTTTCGTTACAGTACTGTAAGTGCAGAGATGAGTGTGGATCACCTCTGTGTGTGTGTGGTAGAAATAGCATTAAATGTTGGTACAACAAAGTAAGTGAAATTGGAATAAAACTATCATACCATTAACCATTAATTATTTTTATAAACTTTTTTCAACCTACATTGCAATTCATGAGAATCTATTTAAAAGATACCAGCAATCTCGAAACCATCACCCTCCTATCCAGGATTTCACTAAAGCTACTAACGTTTGGGAAATTGTAATTTTGAGTCTTATTTATCCAACTTTTTCCTGATGGTATCACATCACTACTATGTAAAAAAACAAACCTCAACTGATTTCCCCTTATATCTTTGAATCTAGGATGGTCGACTAAGTGACGACTTCAATATGATAGAGCCCCCGCTTATATTTGAATGCAATAAAGCATGTGCCTGTTGGAGCTCTTGTCGGAACAGAGTCGTTCAAAATGGAATTACGTAAGTAATAATGATTTTTAACATATCCATGGCCACATTCTCATCCTAAATAACCCTAAGTATTTTAAATTCTTAATAATATATTAAATAATTAACAGCTGTAATTTTCATCCTAAATAACCCTAAGTATTTTGAATTCTTAATGATTCTTAAATAATAAACAGCTGTAATTCTTATCCTAAATAACCCTAAGTATTTTAAATTCTTAATGGTTCTTAAATAATAAACAGCTGTAATTCCTATCCTAAATAACCCTAAGTATTTAAAATTCTTAATAATTCTTAAATAATAAACAGCTGTAATTCTTGTCCTAAATAACCCTAAGTAGTTTAAATTCTTAATGATTCTTAAATAATCAATAGCTGTAATTCCTATCCTAGATAACCCTAAGTATTTTAAATTCTTAATGATTCTGAAATAATTAACAGCTGTAATTCCTATCCTAAATAACCTTAAGTATTTTGAATTCTTAATGATTCTGAAATAATTAACAGCTGTAATTCCTATCCTAAATAACCCTAAGTATTTTGAATTCTTAATGATTCTGAAATAATTAACAGCTGTAATTCCTATCCTAAATAACCCTAAGTATTTTGAATTCTTGATGATTCTTAAATAATTAACAGCTGTAATTCTTATCCTAAATAACCCTAAGTATTTTGAATTCTTGATGATTCTTAAATAATTAACAGCTGTAATTCTTATCCTAAATAACCCTAAGTATTTTGAATTCTTGATGATTCTTAAATAATTAACAGCTGTAATTCTCATCCTAAATAACCCTAAGTATAAAAAAAAAATATAATAAAATATGATAAAAATCAACAAACTTTTTGGTTTTGGCAATACTTCTAGGTGCCGAATGCAGTTATTTAAAACAGTAGGTAGAGGCTGGGGAGTGCAGACACTTCTTGATATTCCTAGAGGATCTTTTATATGCGAGTAAGTCTATCTCACAATTTGATTAATAATGACCACCAAGGATGATGTTCCAGTAAAATTACAGGAATCAGTATGATTTATATTATATGTACAATATGTATTTGTATATGTTTTTGTATAAATCTTGAACTTCTCTTGTACATGTTCATATATATTTATTATATTGACTACCATATACTGTACCATCTTTAGTGAGAGATGATAATTGTCATAATTTTACAATATTTTTTGCTCTCATTTGGAATTTTTGCCTGAAAATGAAATTTGGTTTGTATGGGAAACATGGTATGTTCAATTCAAGATTTGTTTCAACATTTTTTATTCTCTATCTCGTTTAATTCTTGAAAGGATCAAAAACCGCAACACCAGCATTGAAAAAAATGTACTCTAAAACCCAATAAACCACATCACTTGAAACCCCAAATAAATCAGTTTTAATCTTATTTTCAAAAGTTCAATCAATTGTCGAAATACTTAAGAGCTATGCTGTTGTGACAAATTTATGATCAATAGAACAAGTGCCTTGAATTTTTGTATTGTATTGCAGATACGTAGGTGAATTGATACCTGATGCAGTAGCTGATGAGAGAGAGGATGATTCATATCTCTTTGATCTTGACAATAGGGTAGGTTAATATGCAATATCCTTAAGCAAATACATTCAATTCTTTTCTAGATATTTACGTAATACTAATATGGCACACAAAGTTTCGATCAAAAGATTAAAAGTAATTACATAATATTTTCTATATACAATTTAAAAGTTAATGCTAATGAAAAAAATTCATAGCATCATAAAAAGCATCATGATAACACGTAAGGGACAACCTTTGAATAATGCAAACATTCATATGCATTTTCGCTTCTTTTCAAAAGTTTGAGAACCCCATTGTCTTCATTGAACTAAGTGTTAAAGCCCATTTATTTTGAGAGAATTCAAATCTCATCAAATTAGTTCTTAGTTATAATAATGGAGAAAAATTATTTCTACACAAACAAGCTTTTCAGGCATTCCAGTGATAAGTTTGTGTTTTGAACTCGATGTATTTCGTTGTTATATTACAGGATGGAGATACATTTTGTATAGATGCTCGTAAATATGGAAATGTTGCACGATTTATAAACCATCGTTGCGAGCCAAACATTGTTCCTGTGAAGGTGTTTATCGACCATCAAGATTTGCGCTTTCCAAGAATATGCTTCTTCGCATCTAGGGATATTAAAGCTGGGGAGGAATTGGGGTAAATATATATTGCTTCATTTTGAATGTAAAAGAAAAATGAAGTGAATTAATTGGAAATATAAAGAAATTTGTAGTTGCTGTACTCCTTGTTATTGGTTTGCTTACCACTTACAATTAGGGTTAGTATATATTGCAACATTAGGAAAGTAAAGGAGGTATAAATTGAGTGAAGTGGAAATAAGCCAATTAGCCAATTCTGTCTACTAGATTATAGGAGATGGTGATGAAATTGCTACATACCACATAAATATGATTATGTATACATATTTTGGAATTTTGAGTTAAATATTAACATCTCTATTTTCAGGTTCGACTATGGTGAAAAATTTTGGATGGTAAAATGGAAACATTTTCTATGTCATTGTGGGTCAGATAGATGCAAATACTCTAAAGTTACTATCCAAGACACTCTAGTTGACTTCAAGAAGAGACAATACGACAGTGATAGTCCTGATGATTTAGATTAATCAAAAATTCTACCATCAGGGCTATCACCGAGGATTTGGAGATTCTGGATCTGTTTGAAATATTTGTCTCTGAAATTGTTATTGTTTTAAGAGAATTTATGTGTGAGTTTGTATTCTGATGCATTAATATTCTCAGTTTGAGCAATTTATTTGACACGGATCCTGAAAGACAGTGATGTTATGAATACTTCCATACTCCTGCATTCGATTTTATGTTGTTCGTATTGTAATGGATTTTATACTGGATGATTATAAAGATATATATTTGGTTTTAGTGATGGAGTACTGTGAGGATTGCTTTGGTTTAATTAGACCCTGTACACTGGTGATCCACTCGATTACGCTGGTTATATCAGTATCATATGTTTTAGAAAAAGTACATGTTTGCGAAAAAATAGCTCAGAGGACAACAGAATCGTCGATTTACTTCCTCACTTAAGTTACATAAACGGTTTTTCGAAAAACAGTTAAGAGCTGCACTTTTAACCCAAACCGTTTATGTAACTTAAGTGAGGAAGTAAATCGACGATTCTGTTGTCTTCTGAACTATTTGTTCGCAAATATGTACAATTTCTTAAACATATAATACTATTACACGTTTGTGTTAAAAAATGTCGTGGGAATTCTGCCTACAACGTGTAAAATAAGGAAACGAGAAAATCGTACCTTCCGGATGTTCCGACATTTTGTTACCAAAACGGTTCGTTTTGGTAACCAGCGTAATCGAGTGGATCACCAGTGCTGTATGTCTATTATAAATGATGTATTATTGGGATATGGTTACTAAACATAAATTTACACGCTTAAAAGGAACTAGGCTATACAATACAGGAATATGGTGATTTTATAGAGAATATTATGGGATATAAACTCTTCATTGTGTTATTCCTTCAAACTTGCTTTTTATCAACTAAATAGACCTTTCTGATAAATCCCGTCCACTTTTCCTCCAAAAACATGGTTTACCAGCGTAATCGAGTGGATCACCAGTGCTGTATGTCTATTATAAATGATGTATTATTGGGATATGGTTACTAAACATAAATTTACACGCTTAAAAGGAACTAGGCTATACAATACAGGAATATGGTGATTTTATAGAGAATATTATGGGATATAAACTCTTCATTGTGTTATTCCTTCAAACTTGCTTTTTATCAACTAAATAGACCTTTCTGATAAATCCCGTCCACTTTTCCTCCAAAAACATGGTATGTTTGATGGTTTAATATTGTGATACAGTATATCGGAACTGTGTTGCATTTTAAGAAATTCTTCCAAATCGGTATTGTGTTCCTCATACGTTGCAGTAAAACTGTACATTCTATCCAATAGGTGGCGTGATTTACTGGAATTGTCTGTTTCTCCTCAAATGTTTGAGGATGACTGCTCCCTACATTCGTTGTGATGATCATGTAAACAAGAACAGTTATAAACAATGCAAAATGGAAAACACTCAAGTCAACATTTTGATATTCTTTCTCTGCCACTTTGATAGGAAAGAGGAGGGACCTTGATTATCAAAATGACATGAAATGAGTGGCCACATTATTTTTTGTCAGATATTACTACAGTAATATGCTTGTTAGGTTATTTTAAGCACTGTCATGTAGCAACAAGTAACCAGTATATTATAACAATACAAGCATTTATAAATATCCAGGCAAATGCTAGGCCTTAGTCTGTGTACCACTAAAACGAACGCTCAAGAGTGGTATGCGAAATGAAATTAAAACTACGTGTATTGTTTTAAATAATGCTTGACATAAGTATACTGTACTTATTAAAAGATGTCACCCTTGCATTGTAATAAAACATTAAATGTTACATTGGAACTTGTATTGGCCTTGGCGTGATCAGGAAATTAGTTATACACATAACACTACACAATTACATTACTTTTAATGTTTAGTTTTAACAGTCCTAATTTAGTTATTAGTGATTTCTTAAAAATGACAGTTATATACTAATATGTTCTCCATGTTAAGCTCTTGAAAGTGGAGGTCTTGACTTTATAAATGTGACAGACCTGTGACCTTAATGTTTATAAAAAGTAAGAAAAATCAAGTGTTTTTCTAATGTAGCATTGTAAAAATACCAGGGTATATTTTAAGTACTTTTAGAAAATTCATGATCATTTTTTATAACTCCACTTTACTTTTGCAAATACGTTTTTGCACACACTGTTGTAACAGATTTCACCATAGCAGAGGCTATAAAATATCCTTAAAATGGTTAACAGCTAATTCTAAAAATGGATAGATCATAAACTGGCTCTCAACCATTTTTGTGTTTCTGCATGAAACTGATAGACTGACACCCCCTCTCTTCCAGGCTAGGATAAACATAAGGTTCGAAATTAGGCTTTTATTTCTTCAGTTAATTATGGCATGGGGCTTATTATCCCAACGAACGAAGTCCGGTAGGGATAAAGTGAAGCCCTCCGTCCGTCTGTCCGTCATTCAGTCTGTCCGGAAGATAACTCGAATACTAGTTGACAGATTTTCTTCATATTTGGTGGAAAGATGTATATTGGTGAATCGTTTTAAGCAAAAAAAAATTTTTTCAAGATGGCTGCCAGTTTAAAAATGGCGGGAATTTTTCTCAAAAATCGTATGTTTTCATTTTAAACAAAAATAATTAATATTATTATTTGAAATTTTGATAGAATATTCACAACATCTATCCGTTTCACATATATCCCGTGTTTTTCACCTTGAGCCCCAGGGAAAACAGGAATTTGTGTTAATTTTGAGATAATTTTGATAATAGCTTTATAATACTCAAATGAAAGGCAATTTAGAGTAGATTGCAACTATTGTATCGTTTTTCTGATTTGGACCTTGTAAAATTCAAACTAGCCGCCTAATGTGGGATTTCGCAATTATTATCCGATCTCTCAAAAGTATGGCTATATTACAATCAAATTGAAGGAATTTCAGAGTAGATCATAATAATGGTATTGTTTTTTCTGATTTGTGCCTCAGAAAATTCAAAATGGCTGCCTAGATCAGGAATTCGCCATTACTTGGAGTTGTCTTGAAAGAATGTTTGTAACACGATATGATGTCAAATATTTATTGAAGGGAAGAGTAGATGGTAAATATTAAATTGTGACTGTACAGATTCATGATTTATATACTGTATTGTTCGTTGGGATTTGCTACTCCGTGGAGTTGCTGGTTTCTAGTTTTTTATATGTATTTTGATATTGTAAGTCTTTTAGTATGGATAAAGAGAAGCCACTCGTTAGTTCTTCCGTAGTTCTAGATGATGTCTCAGATATCGAATTTGGCTCAAACTTTATAGCCTTATGCATTGTGGGCATATGCTCAAGAAACACTGTAAATAGCTGCAAAATTGTATTTTTAAAACTATATTTCGACGATCTTGACTGTATTTGAATTATAATGTGTCGATTATTTATTCAAGCGAAAAAAGTTTTGTTTTAAGTTTGAAAACTGTTTGATTCAAATATGAATAATGGAATAATATTTTACTGCTAGGAATGTCTATTTCATAGATATTTTTCAAAATGGGGTCTGATTCAAAAATTGCCGACATTTAGTACTTCTTGTCCGATATGGTCCATATTTGAAATATCTGTGCGTTATGGATGTAATATTATGGAAATAACCTACATTGCCTCTGCACGACTTCTACACGTTCGTTTCTAGCGTGAACTATTAGGAGTGTTTTTGGTGGGATTTGTTACTCCGTGGAGTTTCTCTTAAATTGTATTTTTATCACATGCCTTGGTACTTGCTGGTTCAATCTCATGAAGTGCCTATTTTTGCTCTTTACAGGAACTGTTCCTGTTCACCACGTTCTCTGAAAATAGCAAATAAATTGTTTATGAAAACAGTGGGAATATCCTACTGTTTAATTGATTGCAGAGTGCATATGTTTTTAAGAAGTGGAGTTTTTGTTTGTAATGTGGTCTTTAAATATAAACATATTTTAATGTGTGAATGAATTCAAATAAATTTAAACACAATCATGTTATTTAAAATTTAATACTGGTTTTATTGATTATTTAAAAAATGTTTAGAAGTGTTTGAAAGCGAGTTATTTCATGGGAAACCCCTTAATTATACCTTTAAACTTGTTGACTTTTAAATTGTATGAAATATTGCATGGTATCTTTCAGTCTTTAGTCCATGCCGCATTTTGAACAGTTTAAAAATTAAAAAATTGTTGTGCTGGTGTTGAATTATATATGTGATACCACTGTAAAATTAGTATTGGATAAATTAATTAATGCATGTCACTTTGCTGCATGTGTGTGATGGGGGACACACGACGAACAATGGTGACACAAGTAATTGCGCATGTGCGGAAATGCTTGTCGTCTGCAAATTACTTTGGAATGGCGGGAAAGTGGCTAAATTACGTTCTCTTGGAAAGTGATGGCCAAATACATAATTAATTATCAATCGAATTTTTCTCACGGCTGTGGACCTGTGTCAATTTTAATTACATATTCCAAGTATGTAGGTGGAAACAAAATGAACAAATAAGTGGGTTAATTTTAATTTTGTATCAAAACGAACCTTATTTGCTGATCTCTGATTTTTATTGACTGATTTGGTTTTATCATTGGGATTTTGAACCTTGGATTGGGTCAATATTGATATCCATTAGATGTAAAATAGAGTTGTAAAATATCATAAGATAAGGCACGATCTTTAATATCTTAAACCCGAGGCCAAAATATATTTTATGAGCTATATAGGCTACTTGTAGCATGGCTGTACGTTCAGATATTCCTTATGAACAAAACTAAAGCCAATAGACATTCATTTATGTTTTTCAAACGTCCCGGGATGTTTTTTATTGAATATGACAAAAGAGTCCAACTATGAACTTTTTTTGAACTTCGAATGCCAAAGTTCAATTTGCCCATTGAAAATGGAATTCTTTCATGTGATTCAGTGTTGTAAAAAATTGTAGAGATTACTAGGCCAAATGGAACGGGAATTCCCACATAGATACAGACTCTGATTTGTAACGTTATGGGAAACAGAGAAGCCTTACTTAAAATTCCCACACAGATTGTATGTGTAAAGTTTATTTTAGACCGCCATCGCACACTGTGAACATTGCGTTTTCCTACTTAACTCGCCTCAATTAACAAGTCTGATTGTATTTTCCACAAACTTTTCACACAAAATGCATTTCAAATTAGCACGGAATCGTCCTGAATTAATGATACAGCTAGATTCCCATTGTGTAAAATTAGTATATAATTCCGTTATACTTTATAGTTGCGTATGGCCCCCATTGTGTTAATTTTTGCCTTGTAATTATTCACATTGTATTTTATTAAGTGAAGTTGTAGTTATGCTAATTGTAAGCTTTGTAGTATTTGTTTGTTCAGGGCTTCAAAGTGAAAGCTGGTATTATGCGGGAAATGTCTGCGATGGTTGGAGAACAATAATGCAGTGAGCTGATGGCGTTGCATTCGGGCATTAGTAAACACAGGCCAGCGTCCTGGCATCCAGCTTCTATAGATCCATCTCCATGCTTGATCATTTTCTCAGATGGAGGCTACACGAGAACGTCAGTTATATTTGTGAAACTGTTTTGGCATTGTAGGTCCAGAATGATGCATGGTTGTGGAGAAAGGATGTCTCAGTTGTTAATCTCTACCTCATTCGTTGTTTCCATGAAGCATCATTACATTACCAATGGTTTCATGGTTTTTGCATATTCAATTACAAACGTATGGATTTATTATGCCTCTTTGTACAGTTGTATACATGTATTTACAATTTCATATTTCTTTTCTAGGCGCTTTGCAGTACAGAAAACATGAGTGCCCCAAGTGAAGTCTACATGAGGTAAACACTTAAAAAGAACTACTAAAACAAAATTACTAACATTTCCATTCAAATTGTCCATGGGTTATGAAGTTCGCACCATTTTATGAAACATTAACAAATAACACATAAATGGAGCGAGAAATTACTTTCGCATGCCATGGCAAAGTTGAATTTGCAGGAGTAGACAGGGGCATAAACGCAAGTGTGGATTCTTTGAATGCGGAAGTTTATGATCTTTGCTCGATGCATATATACCTTAACATCTATTGCAATTCATGAAAAAATAAACGTGCATATACATTCGGTTATTATTTTCGCCGAAAATAGATTAAGCTAAACGTGTCGACTAGACTAATACCTAAGAACGGTTGACAGTTAAATTAGACAAGTATACAAAAATCTAGATTCATTATTAGATGAGCCTTTGATCACTTCCCTTACATCGATTATCGCGTCCATCTTCAGTTCTGGTCAAAAATCGAAAATGTGGCCAACAATGACTTGGAGACCCATATTACATGTATTGCTAGGGTCGTTCAAATTCGATTTTTATTGAAAGGTAACGTTGCAGTCTTAATTCACGCTTGAGGATATTGCATTGAAATGTGGTCTATGCAACTATTTTCAAAGGAACGTCTACATAATATAGGATAAAAAAGAGTTGATGAATATCCCCATCAATTTCAGTTTTTTAGGATCAAGGGTCATCTCACCCTTGGCCCTTCATGATGTGTAATGAATTGAGAGCAAAATCCCATCTTTTATATCGGCCATTGCAGCATAGATATATGACATATATGCATTTAAGATGCATTTTGCCATAACAACGTTAACTTTACAGACTAGACGAATGTTTATCCTTTCTGATCTAGTGAACACACATATTTTATTTCATCATATATGTTTGAAAGTTACAAACTTTCTGTGGTGTTGGTCCCTGTTTGAGGACATTGGTATTTTTTGATAATTGCAATAACGTGTACGTAAATCACTTTTATGGCTTCAAGTTTCAACGATTCAGACTTTATATCAAAATATGTGTCGATGGTTTATTTGTATGACTTGCATGTACTGTATACCCTGAGTGTCGCAGCCTGGTACATACGGCAGATGAAGCACTCTTTTAAAGGCGCACTGAATCAAAATTATTGGAAAGTTTAGATAATACGCTGCATCCATGGGAAAAGTAAGCCTGGTGTTCTGATGCGAATTCCTTCGGGGATATCTTATGATGTTGCGTCATAGTCTCACCAAAACAAACAAAATTGTTTAGGTATCGAACTGAATAAACATATAATACTATCTCTTATCTTGTAAATAGCCTAGTGCTTTTCCGAATGTCAATCATAATATTGATTTTGATTGTAAACAGCTAAACAGTCATTAGTTTCCCTCGAGTGATCAACTGAAAAATAGGCATGGACCTTTTCTGATCTGGGGATATGAAATAGGCCTAGATGTAAACATTTACTCGATCAACTTCATATGAAACAATAAAATGACGAATGGAAAATATGCACCGGTATTTTGACAACTATTCAGAAACCGTTGAAAATTGTAACCAATTAGATGAACATTTTGATGTAAAATCACACAAGTTTGTGTCACGGATGTCGAAAGCACAGTTCACATAAACAAAAATACTTCAGCGTGTGGAAAACAGATCTGTATTTCAACCGTGAAAACAGTCTGGTCGATCTGTAAACTCTCCAAACTGTCTGTTTTATGCACTAAACCAGCTTTCAGGATATGCTGGAACCGTAATTCTAGAGTAATTCTCACAGTTCTGAAATTGGATTTAGTGCATGGTAAAGGAGTTGCATAAAAGGAGATTCTATTTCACACACCGTCTTCTCACATCAATCCCTTGCTTTTGGCAATTATGATCGCCGTGGATTTATATTGCTTTTGATAAACGATGGCTTTTAAGTTTCTTATCTGTGTGCTGTGATGGTTTTATATCAGTCCATGCCTCATCCTTGCACTGTGCTAGCTATATACTTACTGTGTGGGGTTGAAAGCACTTTATTGTGAGTGGGGTTGTGGATTGGAATATGGAACAGTCTGCAAACAGAAGCGTTCTCCATCGATACGACGTCAGATACTGTACATCACGGCGTAACATTGTAATTGTTCATTTTACCGACAAAATGCAAAAATCTACGCGATAAATATGCGCAATGCTCCTCCAAGTAATTGCAAAAGTTTTAATATTCGTGGAATCTTCTTAAAAACTTCGAGTTTTGTTCAGATTAATATGCGCTTCAATACAATTCTATATTCAAAAAGGTTGTGTCACGATATACAGAATTAGAATCACCAGAAAGTAGACATTTCAAACCCTACCCGTTTTCTTCTTTGTCGCGCTTTTCGGCCCTGCGCTCTCGTTGTCGTACCGTCTTTCTAGACTCTTTCACAGTGCCCCTTGTCATATTCAGCTGATTGTACACAGACGGGAAGATATTAAGGATTGTTAAATGCATTATTTGTAATTTATTTTAACTCGAATATTTAGTTTTATTTATTTAAAGCAATGAATAATAAAGGAGAACATATAATACGCTAACGGCGTAACGTCTTATTTTGTAAAGGCTTCACTTGGGGTTGCGGTGATAAAATGATGTCTATCTCAATATATACTGGTTCAAATTAAATGAAATTAATTGTATGTAGTAAGGGATATATTTAAAAGAACACGCTGAAACATTGGAAAGTTTTGAATGTTTATCCCTTAATTAGAAATATTTAAACTCAAAAAATGAAACGTAATTTTCTGAATTTTTCACATGGCTTCACTTCATACTTCTTTCAATTTATACTTCTTACAGACTGAATTTTAATCTAAATGATATAGTTTTTTGATAAAAATATAGAATATGATATGCCTTTCAGGAATCAAAAAAGAATAATTCACCTTTCAAACGATTTAATGTTTAATTGATCAAAATATATATCTTGTTGGTACGAAATTCTGCCTGTCCACACTTTTTTTGAATAAATATAAGCGTTAAGTTAGCATTGTTATATTATGACGTCATTACACAGAATCTGTTTGTCTTTTCCAAAATGGTAAATTTAAATATTGTGAAAATTTGAGAAAGATCCGTTAAGAAATGAAATAGTTATCTTCATTTTTCGTTTAAAATTAAAATCATTTTTCTTCAAAATGTTACAGTCCACACCCGGTTTTAGCATAGAAAGTCGCATAATACGGCTTGCGTGATTCTCATTTAAAAAGTCCCGGATCAGTAATTTAGAATTCTGATAGGCAAAATATTTCATGGACATACGTGTTCAACTGATGACGAAAAATTGTAGAAAAATATGATATTGCTGTCGAGATATTGCGGTTTTAAAAGTAAGTACGCATGTAAAAATGCAGTAAAATGCCGCGATGTACAGTATCTGACGTCGTATCATCACAAAACAGCAACTTCGACTTGTACATTTCGTGGGATTCTACTTGTTAAAACTTGAACCAACAATTTTCCCACGGTCTAATTTGATGAATAGAAAATGAAAGGATTTCATTGGTCTAGTATGTAAACCAATCATTTATGACCTGCGCGAGTTGAGAAGAGATTGCTTGCTGTGTAAACTCTCACACGGTTTTGTTTGCGCATCCCCGCGCAGCTGTACTTCATCTCATTTTCAAACAATCAGTGAAAGTGATAATTCAAGATCTGCTTGGAGATCGGTGAGAATATTTTCACATTGATTGCCATACGAATGTCGATGTGCAGTTGTATTGAAATGTCGTGCATAGTTTAGTTCATTCATACAGTGTGAATAAGTACATTAGCAAAGACCCTGGGATGTACTAGTACAAGTAGAAACACTGCGTCACAGGATACAATATAAGACAATCTTGGAAAAGAACGAGCAGTTCAGGATATAACCAAAACAGAAAAATTCCCACGGATTAGATATTACGTTTTTTGTAAGAGGACACAAATACTTTGGAATTCGTACCATAATCCTCGCATACATCAGTGACCGATATTTTTATCAAGGCTAGGATGTCTGCATGACAAGCTTGAATATGCTGTAATTCCTGATATAAATTCGATTTAAAGTGTTAAGGATATACATCTCCACCCTCATACGGATTATACGTCAGCTAGAACTATAATAGGATGGGTCAGCCAGCGACCCCTTACCAGAAAATGTTTGAAGATGCAGTGAAGCGTGGGGATATGTTAAATTTACAGACTATCTTAGAAGATAGGGGTGGCAAAATAAACGTTAATCTATATGACACAGAAGGGCAAACAGCCCTGCATCAAGGATGCTTAGAAGGTAATTTAGAACTTGTTAAATTGCTTGTCAATTTTGGTGCAGATGTTCGACTTTGTAATCGGGACGGTTGGGCCCCCCTTCACATAGCCGCTTATGGGGGTCATAACGAAATTACGTTATACTTGATAAACGCTAACAGAATAAACAGTAAGAACGCTAGAAATAACCAACAGCCACAAGAGGAGAGGACATAGGTCTGCGTGGCAGCATGTATCTACATATAATATATAGTAGATGTCTGGGGGTACCAGACGTCGTTATAATTGCAGTATCCACTCAGAAATAGTTGCCAATTGAGCCAGTAATGGTTTCAAGTCCCGCACTGACGCAACCATCGCCACACAGAGCCAGCAGATAGTCGCCTCGCACATACTGACCGCTCCACAGTGATTACCCAACCCTACATACTAGAATTGATTACCCCAAATAAGACAACCATACAAGTGTCAGAACACGAAGGGTTACATATCAGATCACCACTATTATTTGGTAGTTTTCCCATCATCTTCGCCAAACCCAAACGCTCACCTCTATCAATTAGGCAAGCTAGACCAACACAACGACAAAATGGTCACGAGTACTACACCCTAAATTTAACATACTACACTGACACAAGAGACAAGTGTTAGTTTTTATATCACTACGAACCAGATTTCCACTTGATTTCTGTCTTTATGATGCCAAGGATGGTGAAATGTGAGAAGGTTGGTTCTAGGCCTAATGAAATCTATAGGCCAGTGAGAGCAAATGTTAGACCCTATCCCCGATGGTTTCAATTTATGGTGACATGACAGACAGGGCAGAGTTTTTACCTCAACGGTGCCGCATAATATACCTCACAACTGAACTAAAGCTGCTTGATAAAACTGAAAGCAATATAACCCACAACAATACTGACACAACACCCAGAGCAGCTATTGATAAACGACAGTAATCGATTGCGATTCGAACCATCGCCATAAACTTATGCTAATACGTTATCTTCATCACTGTCTATGTTTTGATCTCCACTCGCCATTGATTTTTGGATTTATTGGTTTGAACAAGTGGGGTCGTTTGCAGCCTTGGAATGTCTCACATAGTTGAAGGCCAGTGTATACAGCAGGCTAGCACCTGTCATTAAACTCCAGTTCCACAAAATATTCCGCAGAATGGCATACAAAGCATGTATTTAATTGGTTGAACGAACTCACGTGACTATATCCATCTCTTGCTTACGATACCTCCCTCGTCGCAGACGATGCTGCAGGGATGCAGAGCTAGCCCTTCTTATTCAGTTTGGTATGATTCTCCTGGAATTCTATTTTTGCTCAACTTATGTAATTCATTTTCATAAAGGAATGTGAACTACTTGACTACATTCACTCTTGGTTTCACATGATTGCGATTTCACATCTAGACCCACATGGGCATATTCCACGTGGAGGGTTCAACTGTTTTGAGACTGTGAGGGTTCAATGATCGATCTACAGGCTTTCATTCATTCTTCTTCATTTAGAATCAATGGCCAGTATTTCACAGTGAAGAGCTACCGTGATTTATGAATGTAAAATTTGCATATTTAATATGGCTTTTATATTGTACGTGGTTTATCAATGTTTGAACCGCCATTGCTTGTATACACGACGGAAAACGTAAAAAAGTTTATGTCAAAAAGTGTTTCAAATCAAATGTGAGCATTCCCGCCTTGTATCCTATCCATTGCAACCGAGATATGTTTGAACACGTTCAGAGAAAAAACGAAATTGGTAGCACATGTGTGTGGGTTTCATTGCAATAGACTTGCAGTTCGAGATTTGTCACTTCGCCACGGGGCGTTATCGAAGCATTGTTAATAGTCACTTCATATAATTGACATATCAATAATCGATGTCATAATTAGATAATAATTAGATAACAGAACATGATCACAACAGATAATTATCTAACTGTCCAAAAGAATTACACACACCCACCGGGTTGTTTATGGAAAGTTTCCATCGAGATTTTTATCCTTGCTCCAGCTTTTGGTGAATTCAAGCAGCATGGTTTGTCAGTTTGGGCCAAAAGTTTGTGAAGTTACATTGAAGGTATTATCAGATACATCTCAATTAACCCATTAAACACCCGCTGACTGCCATATTGCCTGATTTAACTGAGAAATTCCCACGGCTATTTCCAACTCGACCTTATATATGTGTGTGTGTAACATATACTATCATTGACCATGTTTGCTTATACTTTGGTTTTACGTGTACTTCTCGTTGATTTCGAATCTGCAAATACTACAACGTTAAAGCGACAAAATCTCAGATTAACACCTCTAACAAATCAAAATTGAGTATTTACAAAATTAAGGTGGATAAGTTCAACTTTGTGCATATTTCTCGTTACCTGACAACGTGTGACTCAAAATCGTATTTTATTACATACACGCTAAGGTTGAGAGTGATTTTGTATTTTTATTCGGTTGTAGAATTTGTTAAGTGTAAATTTGACTTGTCAGGTCGATGGATGTCTACACTAAAGCGGCAACATTTGTAGATTTAGTGAAACTGTTCACACATGTAAGAACGTGACCCTGTGTGTCCACCATCACTCGTTCATTAATTTTTCATCATTAAAGGTAAACGGAGAAAATTATTGATTAACATTGTCAATTGGGTGACGTTTATTTTGACATAGAGTTCAAATTATCCCCGAAATCTGAGAAAAGGCGTGAAATTCCGATGTTTCTTTGAATATTTGAAAAGGTCCAACGACGTATGTACATAGCAAAGATTTTTCACAGCATTAAATAAACGTATTCTTTTCTGAACCCGGGTAAACATATAGAATAGAAATGAATTGTCAACTGTGTGAACGAAAGAAATGATCGTTTGGAATTCAAGAAATAAACTAAAAAAATTCAAAAAATATTTACATGCAATATTTGATGTCCATGATGATCGAGAAGTAGCGTTGATACATGTGATGATAACTTGTATAAGTACCAATGAGATTTAAAAACAGGTAGAACGGACACTGTAAAAGCCCAAATTCATAATTAGGCCTCTGTTGTGAAATCTATCATAATATTATTTAACATTACCGTCTTACAACAAAATGCATTATATATACCATATACACGTAAATTAATATATTGTTCAGTTGAAAGGCATGCAATCCTAAACTATTTGCACTCCTGGAAACTATATCACAGTATGAACACCAAATAGCACAAAGGGCCATTTTGAAGATAAAAAACAACGTAAACAAGCAATAAGAAATAGTTTCCAGGATTTGTAAAATTGTATGATGTGTTCTTTTTTTATTTTGGGCATAGAGTTCTGAACTCACTCAAGACTGAAATATTTCAAGATTTACAATTAGTTTCGTACTAAGTACGTGGTACAATGTGTATCTTTAAATATAACTATTAAAGATCGGTACTGAATGAATTGGAAAGTTGCAACATTTTGTAAATATATAAATGCAATATCGTAATTCATATAGGACTCATCTTTATACAAAGGGTAGGCTATCTTGTATTTTTGTATATCAGTATTACTCAATATCAACTTCATAAAGAGAATGTCTGGAGGAGGCGAGGCCTTCCCATAATTCTTAACTCCATATTCATTGTAATCTTGCATTAAGTCCAGGCGTTGCCTTAACTTCCTATTAATTTGCTTCCTCCATGGAGAGTTATGACCAAGGACTAGTGCAAGACTATACAGAGGGTTCTAGTTCCAGGACTATGCATATAGGCTTTCCTTGAATATAAAGGTCAAAGAAATATGAGAAGGTCTCCCCTCTTGTCTGTAGTTGCAGCATATATAGATCACAACTGAAGAAAGAACCATACACTGAGAAAATAAATGTAACCTTGAATAGCAGGTTACGTAGGTCTGCGTCAATACAAGTAACACTACGGTGAATCGATATTTGTTTCTATATTCAATGTTCCCACGAGCCAATTTTGTTTCTGCAAGCTATTTTGATGCATTTCTTCCCTTGACGTACCATCCTGATTGAACCCCAGACTCTCAATATTGCAAAATTATTGGCTTTATTCAGCCATGCATGCCGTGTTCATAATTTTTGAAAGCTGGTGTATTCTTACATATAGTGTATCATCAACGCTTAAATGCATCAAAATAGTTTGAAAATTAATAAATATATATTAGGATATGAAACATACACCTAAGATATTCTTTGCAGTAAGATGTACATAGAAATGAGCATTGCATTTCCAATTTTCTATGTAATAATATTATGTGACCTGTCAATTTTCTCTACCCCAGAGCGTCCTACACGGAATGAAACTTGGCTAATGATGTAAAGATTCCAGGGGAACTCTGCGGAAGAGAAAAAGCTGTCATTTTTATACATTCACAAACATAACAGACAATAAACTGTGATAATGTATTTGAAAAGTATAATAATTGTTTTATTTTTGTTAGTTTGTCTCTTTGATTTGCATTAAACTGGCAGACGTAATTAGACTTTGTCAAAATTTTGCAGTATTCTTAAACGTACTTTAGAAGTAAGTTGTTCCATTTAGTAACGAATCGTATAGGGGTCAGAGTTTGACATATGTGTAAGTGATGATATGATCACATAACAGAAACCCTGAGAAATAGTCTGCCAAGTTCATAAAGCCCCGTCACTAATTTTGTATTCGCCTCTATTTCATTGTATACTTTCCAGGATCTGATGTAACGTACACGTCCCATATTTTCCTTATACATTAATATTATGTATCCATTTGACCATGATTAGATAGATCTGATTAGACTCAAACTAGCTTTCATCAAAATAACAAAATTATAACGGCCATATCACAAAATCGATATAAAGTCTACATCGTTCAACTGATCCCTGTATTTTATGCTGCACATTTCTCTCAATTTGGAAAGGTACGGTTGCCGTAGATCAAATATGACCGAGATATAACTCTGGCATCCAATGGCCTAAACCACCCAACTAACTTTTAGAAAACCATTTTATTAAAGGAATGGCATGGTTTCCATTAGACTTTTTATCACTCCCCAGTTCACCAGAAGAGACTGAATTAAACCTTAAGAAGAATTGCATTGAAAATCTCCACTGCATATTTAACCCAAGTTTTTATTAAAATGCATAGTAGTTCGAGTGGAAATCACTATGAATGTCCCTACCTCTACTGTATACTTTATGAATCAAAGATGTATGAAAACTACCCTGATCCTCAT